CTACAACTCAGAGCTTGCACTTCCTTGGGTATGTGTTGTAGATGAGGATGGCATTGGATAGCCCTACATGACACTGCAGGCTGCATTTTAGCCATGTGTTCCACAGTCACGCTAAGGTTGATGTGATCAGTTCTTGAGCATTTCATGAAACAAAAATTGCTCATACATAACACAGTATGTTAAGCTTTTACGTCTTTAAATTCTGAATACATTATGGGGAAATTACTCTGCAGCCCAGCCACAAAGAAGCCATTTGACATATCCTATAAATCACCAGTCCCCTCTGGACTGGTCTGTAGCAAGTATCCTCAGCAACTTGACTACTTTGTTCAGAAATGTTCTGGCTATAGTTTCCTCAAGTTTTTGGTACCAATTTTTCTAAACCAAATAAATTATACTATTTGTCTCAGCTAACAAGATTTTCTAAGTGCTTATAAGATTACAGTCACAGACAAGCTGTGTTTCTCTAGCCTGGAGACAAAACGACTGGTTCAAGACAACAAATTCATATTTTCTGTCATTAAGGACCAAAGCCTTGGACATGTTACATCCATCTTTCATTCCTCCTTCTCTGACCTACAAAACCCTACACTAGCTTTCTTTCCTGTCAAGCTTTAAAAAGCTTTAACATTCATTTTCAAGATTCACAGTTCTATAAATTTCCTTTCACGCTAAAACAATCTATGTGAGTATCTCTCTTAGTTTACCCCAGCCATGATACTTTCTCCCTAGTTTCACAAATCCTCATGCTAAAAATTCTTCTCCCCGACCATAAGCCATTTTCACCTCCAAATTTCCTGAAGCGATCACCTATCAGCCATTCACCCAGACTACCAAGTGGCAAACATGTCCTAATACTTCTTCTGTGACAAAGTTGAGTACCTATAATTTAACAAAGTTATTATCTTTATCTTACCTATCCGCACAGCTGTTACATTTCACCATACTCAGAACAGCTCCCATGAGGAAGAACATTAGAATGGGATCCAGCAGAATATACTGAGACAAAGTAATACAGCCTGTATCTGCAGAGATACACAACAATGTCAAAAAGGCTTGTAGTTCCAAAGTGAATCCAAGATTGCAGAAAGCCAGTTTCCTCAGTGTAGTGAGGACAAGGGGAATAAAGGAAATTTTAGAAACAGCAGCAGATCAGAATATTTCAACTTCTACTTGAGTAACAAATAAAAAAAAAAAAACAAACACACAAAAAAAAAAACCACACCAAAACCAAAACAAACCACAAAACACCAACAAAACAAACAGAAAATTCACAAAAACACACAGTACAACATTATCTATGAAACACCATTTGGGAAGTGCTGCTAACTTCCACATTCAGATGGAAAGTGTTACAGACAGCAGTGCTCTACCTACTAAGGCACCAGCATGGTGCCAGCAGATGCTAAAGGAACAGTCATTTTTCAGATGTTACCTATTAAAAAAAAAATAATGACTTGAGTATTTTAAGTCTCCATGCCTCAGTATCCGTGTGTCCTCACAAAGCCCAGTCTGGGTTTCTCCATCTGTAATGTTAATTTCTCCACCTGACTCAATTCAACAAGGAACTTTATTCATTTCTTACTGTGAACTCTTCCCCAGTAATGTTGTTAAGTACCTCTATAATTCATATGGGAGACATCAGTATTTCACTTCTGGTCAAAATCATTCCTGTCTTATAAAAATTCATAGCATTGAGGCAAAATGTAATCCACTGCTGGGGTTATTCAGGTAACAGAAGTACCTATGAACTAAACAAGGTTGTAAAACTCTCAAGGGGACCATCAGTTAAAAAGCTTCATATATATAAAGCAGAATCACTTTGATTTTGGGAACCTCTTTCATTAACCCTAATATCGCCTGGCTAGGTAACACATGATAATCCAGAAATTAGATTTTTTTTTACAATTAACCCGCTCAATTTTGCTGTAGCAGGAACACCTACCAAAAATAAGGATGAAAGCTGTAAGTAAGGCTGCTGGCAGTGACTTTGATAGTTCCAGCACTGTGAGGTAGACCAACGGAACGAGGCAGGAGCCAAGAAAAGCACAGAACTGCAGGAAAAGATCATGAAAGAAGTTATAATCCTCCCCAGGATGATTACTACTCCCGTTTCTCTTCCTTCATCCTCCACCCATACCAACAACAGGAGGTGCTGCAGTAACTGAACTGACTCACTTGAGAACATCAGACAAAAGTCAAATGAACAAAGATACTGCTCAGATAAGGACAGCTGCTTAGCCTGTTCTGCAGAGCTGTCAGTAACAACTCTCTTACTAGACTGCATCACATAGTTATAAAAAGATATGTCAAGTAGGTACACTACACATCCCCCATACTTAATCTAACAAGATATTAGAATATGAAATCTAAGAACAAAATATACCCTTAACTTACATCTTTAGCAGACCAGTATCACCTCCCCTACACAAATGAGACCAAGGGTAGTCAGAAGAGTCAAAACAAAAGAAAGCAGCATCACAGTAAAATTTGTTCTCTTTAATGTCTTGTTCCAGCACTTCACCCACCTTTGGTTCAGGGAAATCTAGAACCATAAATTGTTGGAGACCCAGTAACTACACCAAGAAAATATCCTTTTCCAGTTTTTATTCTTCTTTCGAGGTACTAGCAATTGGCCACTGTTTCTTCTCTTGGCTTGTGCTATCCACTGCCAGTTTTATGGCTCTTGGTCTTCCTAGATAGCATATAGTCAGGATTTCAGATAGAATACCACTCTGAATTTCCCCCCTGCTCCATAAGCTTACTAGCTCAGTGTCACTGGTGATGGCAACTGCAGATGGCAGTGGATGATCCTGGCTTTTTGACATCCTTGGCTTTCCTCAGAAGAGCAGCCAGGCACAACAGAGTGAGCAGAAGCCCAAGTTCAGCAATGTTCCCTTTGCAGAACAGGCAAGGTATCTTTCCCACTCAGGAGTGGTCCCACTAATTAGAAAACAGTTAGCCTCAATAATCACCTTACTATCTTACCCGTCTGGCCTCTCATAGCCAGACATTAAGAGTTATTCACAATACAACCACTAGCACTTTTCCAAAGAGCTTAAAGACAAGGCACAAGGCTAAAAAGACCTCTGATCTGATCCAGGAGAGCTCTTCTTATGACATAAGACTCTGTACTGAAAAGCACAGGAGGGCTGAACAGCTTGACACCAGCCTGTAGAGCCTTACCCCTCTCATTCCCACGTAGTTGTGCTGCTCATATCTGTCCCCTGGCTTTTGGAAAGGAAATGTACCATCATATCCACTAAGGTAGCCAGCGAGTCCAATCAGCATCTGAAGAGGAAAGGTCAAAAAAACTGGTCAGGGAAGTGTCACTGGAGGAAAGAATATCCAAGCCAGCAGCAGGCAAGATTTTTATAGAAGCCAAGTTCCATCCAGAGGATAAGAGAGGATAAGAAGATACTTAATTCAGATGCATAATTCAAACGAGTCTATGTACAGAATTCATACACATACATATTGTCCTTTGTCTAAAGGCAAGATCAGAAGGGGTCAGGACTTTGGCTGCTGACTGTAAGGAATAAAGCTCAAGAGAAATACCAGGTGGAGGATTTAGCAAAGACAATTCTGTCTCTGTAGATTCTCTCATAGCTCCCTATTGCTATAGTTTAAGGAGGCTCTGCTTGACAGGAAGATAACCTTACAAAGCAGGAGGACACACCTTCATCAACACTGCACACTGTTGCTAGAACAAGTTCTTTGACTACAGAATTGTAAGGCAAGGCTTTCAGGGTTCTTTCAGGTCCTTTTCAGGGTAAGAATCTCACTTGCACATAAGCTATGAGGAATTGTTTGGTTCCTTCGATCTGCAGGCTTCCATGACACAGCCCCTCCAAACCATGAAATTATTTTATTTCAAGCCTTTCAAATACTGGACACGCAATACTGTTTTGTTTTCCCATATTCAGAGTACTTTTATTAAAAAGATAATAGGCAAGTTGAGGTTCTGGCTACAGCATGCATATTACCATGACGACAACAACAGTTAGGAGGGCTACTGGTGTTCATTATATCCTTCAACAAGGGGCATACTTTTGTTAGCCCATTCCTGTAGCTTCTAAGACATGTAACAGAAGAGCAGTTTACCTTCCCTAAAGGGGGATGGACATCAAAGAAGAAGGTCCGATTAATGTAGTAACTTCCCATCTTCCCAAAATGAGTTTCATCCCAACTAAAACAAATGAAAAAAGCTGCTATAATGATAAAGACAGTAAAAAAACCCAAGAAGCATCTTACTTATGCTTTTCATCATTTAGGGTATGTGCCATATACTGGAAATCAGACTGCACTAAATTCACTGGGAAACCATGAGGAGTACTTCAGATATTTAAGGCAGGGTCCTTAAAGAGTTTGATACTGGCACTTCACAATCTCTAGCCTATCCTTCCGATTCCAAATTGTGCTAACGGGTATTAAAAAGTCAGCCTGCAACCCGCAGATCCCCAAAGATGCCTGTTCAGTACTGGGCCTTCCTGCTGTAACACGTCCTAAGAGCAGCGGGGGGAGTGGGGCCGGAGCCGGCAGCGGGCTGGCCAGAGAGCACAACGCTTTTCCACGGCCCTCACCGCCTGAATCCCGCCCCACCACCAGCCTACAATAAACACGATCGTCTTTCCAGTACGCCATAGCAGGGGCGGGGAAGCTGCAGCGCGCTGGATGATCTCCGTTCTAGGGAGAGGCGGCGGACACCCACCCACAAACACGGGCTGGGCCCGGCCCGGGCTAGGCCCGCAGATCCCGGGCACAGGCCCCGCCCTGCCCCGGCCCGTACCAGACGTGCGGCGGCTCCGCCAGGCGGTGGAAGCGGGAGGCGAAGCTAAGGAGGATGACGAGGGCCAGCGCCGCCGGGCGAGGCGCCGCGGGACTGGCGGCGGAGTGTGGCGGCAGCCGGCTGGGCTCCCGCGGCTCCCGCAGCTCCCGCTGCCGCGGAGGGCCCGGTTCGGCATGGCCTCTCCCCGCTGCCGGCATCCGTAGGGCTGTGCTACTCGCAGCACCGGGCCCGGAGCGGCGGAGCCCAGGGTACGGAGTCCGGGGCGGGCGAACGGGCCGCGGGGCACGCATGGAGATGTAGTCCTGCAGCGGCAGCGGCCGAAGGGAGGGCCCTGCCGGGGCGGGGCCGACCACTGCAGCACCCGCGGAGGGTCGCGGAGCAGGATGATGTTTGCCGCACCCAAGGTACGCGGCCTACCATGCTCTCTGCGGAGCGTGCCCGCTGGGCGGGAAGGGAGCGGGGATCTGTGGCTGAGCCAGAGATAGAGAAAACGAGGCTTGGCGCGGAGGCGTTCTGCTCTGGTCCGGCAGGGCTGGGCCTTGCGCCGTGCGGGCTCTGCTGGCCCGGGATCTGCTGGCCCGGACTGCCCGGGAAGGCTGGGGCGGCGGTGACCGCGAGGTCTGCACCGCTTTGTGCGGCGTCCGTTAAACAGGTTCGCGCAGCCCCAGCCTCACCCAGCTCGGTGCCTCAGTGGAAAGCAAGAAATTTGCCCGCACGCTAAATAAAACTAATGCTTTTCAAAGCAGTGGTGGTGGTTGCTTACGATTGTAAGTTAACTGATAGTAGTTGAGCTGGTAATGTCAACACCTGCTGCAGGGATACAGAAACCCACTCCTGCTTGTGCCTTCACGTTTTAACCCAGCATAATACAAGCAATGCCTTTCAGACACTGAGGTTTCCCCTGTGCAAGCCTCCAAGGAGCAGTTTTCTCTCTCGTGTCTCAAGAAACAGGTGAAAAAGATTTTTGTGTTTCCAAGTGCATCCCAAATACAGCCTGGAAAGAGGCTGGTATCCAGAAACCAGACTAAAGCAGACAGGCTTGGAAACCTGAGAGCTCCACACACAAAGTTAAGGGTGTCTCTTCTGTCTTCCTCATCAGTGAAATGCATTTCCCAGATTTTACTCTGGATTGGGACTTAGGCCCAGATTTTCCTCAGTGCAGCACTGATGTTGGAAATCAAAGCAGAACCAAACCAGAAATCTCAGTAGACATCAAGCAAATGTTGTCCTCCTGTCTTCCCAGTTCCAACCAGTCTAACCTGCAGCTTAAGGGGATTAACTCTGCTTAGAACCCTGTACTTCACGAGGTTGTAAGTGGAGACAGTTCTTCCCCATTACTTCCCTGGCCTGTGCTCAGCTCTTCCTCCAGGGAAGACAATAGAATGTCACTGTGTCTCAGTGAACCTGTCCACTGAGAACAAAATACTCACTGTAGTCTTTCCCTAGCTGATTGTTCTGCCTGTGGTCAGCTCTTCTGCAGGGAACAAAACAGCATAAACTTAAGCAATCACTCCAGGCCCTAGCCTCTGGAGACATTTCCCAGCTAAGGGATGAGTTGTTTTCTGTGTTCTTTTTTGGTGAGATCCCCCAGGGCCTTGAAATCATAGTGCAAAGCAATTAGCTTATCACAATTTAGCACAGGCTGCAAAAACAACAAAGAACACTAAGAGATCAGGATAAATGTCTCTGCCAGCTGAGAGGACAGAGTCCAAAACAGATGTGGTGAAGGACATGAGTTTCTGAGCGAAAAATTCAGCAAGGCCCCCAGGGAAAACAAGTAAAAATAGCATGTCATGAATGCTGTTTCTCTTTTGATGTTACAGTTTATGTTTCTTTCCCTGCAGACCAGCAGGCTGGACATTTGGAAATAAAAGGCACAGCTAAGATTTCTAATGCCCAGATTCCAGAAGAAGAGAATTAAAGAAAACCCATAAATAACCTTGTATATGAAAGTATTGTCAATATTGGCATCACTTCCCTCCTCACTTAAAAGCCATTTCTCCAGTAAACTTCAATTAATCAAATGCATACCTTGTTTAAAGTAGTTTGAACCAATCTACACTGTAAAAGAATCACCAAGTTTACAGGGGACTGGAGCATAGAGATCCTCAGGGTGTCTGGTTTTCTGTTGACAAGATAGCCTGTCAGTGAGGATATCCCTGCCTTTTTCTGCCTTGCTCTCGGTCTCTGGTATGATTTTTATGAATTTGGGGAGGGTGGAGATACAGAGAAAGAGACACACATGAATACCAATTTCCTGTGTGGAAAGAAGACAGCTTTGTATTATGCACAAAGTTGGCCTGGGAGCAGAGTAGCAGCCTCTCACAGACCTGCAACGTAGAAAACCGTCTGCACCTGCTAGTACTAATGGGAGGAGGGCTACAAGAGTAAAGGCAGGCCCTGTTCAGAGAGCTGGCAGTGGTTCCCTAGTGAAACAGAAATTCTGCATGTGGCTTCAGTTTCTGTGTTTTGTTTCCCAGGGCTATCTATATTTCTGCACTGGCAACTGCTGGGAACCTGACAGGATCTCTAGATACCTTACTTATTTCTGAACAGGGAGATAAGGATGGTTCCTAAATATGCTTCCAACCTCAGAGCTGGCTAATGGTTCTGATATCAGGGCTTGGCTACAGCAGGATATGGATGCGCTGACTGCTGTTGCTCGAGATTGAATCTAACTGGCTGGTTTTTGTGTTCTGGGTGTGGATTTGTGAGCACAGTCCTTTCTCATTGGCTTTATGAGATAAACCTTCCCCCATTCCCACTGGGTTAAAAGGGAAAGTGAAAAGGTTGGCTTTATTTCGTGGAGTAGATTGCACACACTGACCATGGCATCTGAAAAGGTGAGAGCTTGGACAAGATGGAAGCATCTGGGAAAGCTGCCTCAATGCTAAAGTAGAGATGAATTGTATGCCTTCTCGGCCTTAGTCTCAAACAGCAGAAGCTCTTCTTGTTTGGAAAAAGGCCTCGCCCTGCCCTGGATAGCTGGAAAAGCTGTCTTAACAGCACACAAACATGCAGTGCTTGTCACAGTGTGTGGGGAATTTGTTTTGGAGATCTAAGATGGGATAGAAGTCAGCAACATCCAGTAGGGACAAAGAGGAAAGCTTTGTAAGAAAGAATTCTAAGGACACCTGTGCACTGCTGGAAATACTAGGTGTAACTAAATATTCAGAGGGCCAGCGTGAAAGACAGTGATGTTACCTGTACACCCAAAACAGGAACAGTCACTTTCAGGAAGGAGCCTTCTCTCACCAAAGCGTTGTGCTTCTCTGTCTTACAGTTCTTGAAATGTCTTCTGTTCATGTGCTGTTCTTACAAAACTAGGATATTCTCAGCAGATAACCACTCTATCTCTCTTTCTCTTCTCAGCCAATACTTTATAGCTATTTCCGAAGTTCCTGCTCTTGGAGAGTGAGAATTGGTAAGATCTAATGTTGTTCTCTCTTCCGTTGTCTTGGTGTTTTTGCAGTATCCTCCCCTTCACTAATCTGATGAATCAATCACTTATTGAGAGAACAGCAAACATGAACCTGGAACAGTGAGGCAATTTCCCCAGTGGGAGGAAAGGGAATGTCACACTTCACCTGGAACGGGGGGGGGGGGGGGGGGGAAGGAGAATAGACAGGAAGGCTTTGCTCAGCCTGCAGCTAATTAAGAGGGAAATAATCGTTTTGTAAAACCAGTGTGATGCAGATGGCTGTTTCTTCCACATTTTCTAGAGGGGCCCTACACTTCATTTTTACAGAGATACTGCCTCAGACTCTGGTCTTGAAATTGCAAGGTCTTGATTGCTGAGCAGGGCTGGGAACAGTCCCTGTTTGTACTGAGACAATCTTAAGCAACATTCTGCAGTTGAACACAGAGCTCCCTGCCTTCTCTAAGCCAAAACAAGACAGGCTGTGATGCAAAGAGTGGCAAAGCTTACGTTGGAAAATGCACTTGTTTTACCAGTACTGATCTTCAGTGCTTTGGTCCTTTATTTGCCAGAGCACTAGCTTCTCAGTGGACTGAGGCCACCTTTCTTGAAGGATAGGGTCTTTTTTGGTTTAAACACCACTCTTTCTTCACATGGAGATGGTAGCATTTCCCTGAGCCCATTATCAATGAAACTGGTCTCTATGCCAGTCTGAAGCTGTACACTCTGCTCTCTCTAGCACTTGCTCTGAAAGGGATTTCATATGACCTGGTGCCAGTGAACCTCCTCAAGGATGGGGGGCAGCAGGTAAGGGTATATCTACCATTGCTTTATCCAGGGGTAGTGAATTTGGGGATCATGAGAAGAGTTGTGATTAGCACTAGAAAGTTCACAGGCGAAGTCACTGAATTCCTCACCGCTTCTCTGTAATTCATAGTTGTAGCCAGTTGAGCCTCTCAAAGGGCCTGCCAAAGGAAAGGGTGAGTTGCCAGAATAGATCTTCACGGAGAACTTACCTGGCAGGCCATAGTGGGGAGTTGTGTGCCTAGTAGCACCACCAGCATGATGTGCCAGTATGGGCTAAGAGGGAGTTGAAGAACTGCAACAGTAATAATGACACTGCTGCAGTACCTCCCATCCTGGGCTTGTATTGACAGTTTATCAAGAGGTAAGGAAGTCTGGCTCTGGATGCAGATCCCTGAGCCCCAGTGAGTTTGCTGGAGGCTATCAGTACAGCTAAGAGTACTGCAAATATTCATACTGAGGTAGAAAGAAAAACCAGGTTAAAAAAAAAAAAACAACTGGGTTGGTTTAGAGGAAGAAAACATGGAAGAATTTATTGTTGCAGTAATCTCAGAGTTTGTTTCCACAGTTTTCTGCTGAATTCAAGGCAGTGAATCCAATGCAGCAAGTACCAGCCTTGAAAATTGATGGCATCACCCTTTCTCAGTCGGTGAGTTACCAGCTACATCCCTGTTAACCATTCAGCCCAGCCCGCTGCCCAGTCTGGAGGGGATGGCTCTGACCCATCTTTTCCCCACACACTTTCATTTGTGCATTGGAAAAGAGGTGGGATTTATGATAAACAAACCCACTTGGGGGCAGAAGTAGCACATAGACTCTGCTGAGAAACTCCTATCATGATGTAAGCTCAATTCAGCTTTGGTTCGTAACTCTACTTTTCACTGAACAATTTATAGTCTGACTTAAATGGCTGTGCCAGGTCTGCCTGAAATTACAGCTGAGCTAAATGACAAAAAGGCCACAAGTGGACATCAAAAGGGATATACTGTTGCTTGGATCAGTAACAAACTTCATGAAAAAGCTGTTGTATTCCCTTGGACCAGCAACCCTTCCCCAGGTATTAAGAATGTGAGCTTTTCCTTAGCTTTCCAATAACCTCCCCTTACCTCTTTGTTAATTACAGCTAGCTATAATTCATTACCTAGAAGACACCCGTCCTACTCCCAGGCTCCTGCCCCAAGACCCAAAGAAGAGAGCTCAAGTCAGAATGATTGCTGATCACATTGTCTCCGGCATTCAGCCACTCCAGGTATTGCTTTGTCATATCCATGCAAATAGAAAAGCCAGGATGGGTATCCAGGAGTCTGCAATATCTCTGAAAAATTCAGTATCTTTAAATTGTTGCCAGGCAGTAGTGTGGCAGATCTTAAGATTGTGTGTTGGCAGATGAAATTTCTGCTTAGCCTCTGCCTGATCTGCCAATGGCAACAATACAGTTATTTCCTGCAAAGAAAATCTGCAGCACCCCAGGGGTCTTTCCAGAAACAGCTGAACCCATATGGTTCCACTGCTGGGTCTACGATGTTTTAGGAAGAAGACAACTGACAACCCAAAGGGCAGAGGCAAAGGGATAGATACCCTGGCAGCTGTTACAGAAGGACAGTCCCAAATCAGACGTACAGCAGGGTGCATGATTTGGTGAGGGTAAGGTCAGGGCTGACCCAGCAGGCTGAACTCAGGCTGAGGGTTCAGAGTTGGCAACTTATCTCCCTTCTCTTCCACTGGATGAGGCAGTGGGCAAGATCCTGCCTGCAGCAGTCAATCTAACCTTGAGATTGCTTATCTTTGCAGAACCTGAACGTCCTGAAACAAATAGGGGAGAAAAAAACTGAATGGGCTCAGAACTGCATCGCATCTGGCTTTCAAGGCAAGTCCCATGTCCAAAAATATCATATCAACTGGCTCTTCAAAATGCTGCACCGCTGGGGTCCTACTTTCCTCTACAAGCAGAGAAACAGATCTCCCTGGGCTGGTGCAGTGACGGCACTCTTCCTGCCCAGAGTCCCTTCCTAAGGATTGGTAGTTCTTCAAGCTCTCAGAGGAAAGGTGCTGTCCATGGGGTGCTTCCACTGCTGCATATGGAAGAGGGGAAGCCTGGGGTCATCCTATACACCACAGCAGCTGATTGTCCCTGAAGCACAAGGGCTGACAGCACTTCTCCTTTCCACCCAGCTGCTCCCAAACTAGTACCTTTTGCTTAAAAGTTCTGTCAATCTACATTTATATGCTTTTGTAATCAGACAAAAGGTATCTGAAGGCAAACTCCCACAGAATCTAGTATGTAGCACAGGGGTTTTTTTACCTCCCCAGGAGAAATAGGAGGAGGTAAACCTTTACCCACATGTGCTGCAGTGGCAGATCCATCTTCTCTTCTGGACAGACGCAAACTGATCCTGAAAACTCCCATAACTATGTTGTAAGATTTCTGTTCCTTTTAGGCTGTGTCCCAAATGGCCCATTTTTCATACTCATCTTAGGATTAAAATGCCTTTGTTCATAACGCCCAGTGTGAAGGGTCTTTGGTGTCCCTTTCAAATAAGTTTCCAATGTCTCACACCAGTGTACCACCTTTCTTGACAGCACTTGAGCAGATTCTACAGGACACTGCTGGGCACTACTGTGTGGGGGATGAAGTAAGTATCTGAGCAAACATTATAAACCACTGGAGAACTGAAAACCCCAGTATGTATTCCATACAATAAGAAAGGAAATTAGTTGTGGAGACACAGCACAACCCTGTTCTGTGATTGGAGTTGCATGTGGTTCATTCACCGTAAGAAAGAGCTGCATGGATCCTACTTAGGCCATTACTGACTTGCAAATAGTTACGGAGATGTTTACTTGTCCCTGCCTGTAACCTGCTGACAGCCAGATTCTGCAGCTGTATCTAGGATCTGACTGCTACTACAGGACGGGGAAACAGATTATATATATATTTCATCTTTAAGAGATCTGGAGTTCAAAGTGTCCTGTCATAAGGTCAAAGCTTGGCTCAAGAAACACAGGTTCATTTCTTAGCTCTGCTCTGTGGAACCTTTAACCAAGTTGCCTTGTATTTTTCTGCACTCTCTGACCAATTTTAACATGGTCAGCTTTCAGAGCACTCAAATACAAGCTGTTCTGACCCTTACCAAGTTAAAGGCCACTCAGACCTCCTTCCTGTTTGGTAGGCAGTTGGATCCTTTCTATAAGACCTAAGGGAAAAAAAAAAAAGGAAGGGTCCCACAATATCCTATGGTGCAGAGGACTGTCTAGTAGGAACATTATTATGAAACTGGAGCCTTTGATGGGCAAAGACTAATTACATGATCTTATGCTGGTGAAAGGCCCCCAGGGCTTTGTGACATGGGGAGTGGGGTGAGGGCAGCTGCCTCTGTGCAGATACGCAGTTAGCTGTACTGTCCTTGGTTCTTTTCAGATTGCGAGTTCCTGGGCCTATGTCTGAAGGCGCTATTGTGTATCATGTCTTGACATTGGCAGGAGCTGCCCCATACTCCTGCAATACAAACAAGAAAAATGTACTCATCTTTTCCCAGCCATGCAGACTTTCCCCTCCTCCCATCACCTTCCTCTGCAGCTTGCCAGCAGACTTGTTTGCTCAGAGGCGGTTGCCATAGAGCATTGTGTCCTTGAGGTTGTCATGATCAGCTGGTAAATGTGAAGCTCTCTAAATGCTAATGGCTTTTTCTACTAGTGACTGCTATGAAGTTCCTTTCCTTGTACCACTGCCATGTTATTAATGCTAGATTAAAGAATAAGATTGTCATGACAACTCCTCTGTACTGGCTAATACCATAATTTCTATCCTGCTCTCAACGCCTCCCACCACAATGAAGAATGATGGAACAGGCTCATACCCTGACCCCTTTTCTCTGCTACATTTACAGGTTTCCATGGCTGATCTGTGCTTGGTGCCTCAAGTTTCCAATGCTGAAAGGTAAGTAAGGCTAAACTTGAGGAACTCTTCAAGGGTACCTACCCCTTGTCCTGGGCTGTCAGAGTTTACCTTCTGCTGCACCTTGTGCCTGTCACGAAAGCATCCCTCCTGCCTGCCCTATCCAGTTATGGATTCTTCTCTACATTAGTTTTACTATGCCATAAATACTGTCTGTTTTGGAAGTTCTTGGAAATAAGGAGCTGTGCTGTCTTCTCGGAGGCCTCTGGGGGAAACCTGATAGGTATCCTCAGGAAAGTTAAGGTTGCCTGCATTGCCATGTCCTCTCTCCCTGTTTGCCCTACATTTACACTGCACAGTGGGGAAAGATCAGTCTATTTGTTGAAGGCCTTAAACCTATGCAAGTAGTGGTTGCATGATTTCCAGGAAAAGCATAGTGCCTTCTTAACCCTCTGCTGCACGCTATGTAAAGCCCAGTGACAACAGAAGAACTAGCCTTTCCTCTATCATCTGGTTTTAAACCTACAGGGATGAACCTTTTCTCTTAATGCAAAGGTACATTTGCATTGTAAGATTCTCCCATACTGGAAAGACACAGCACACTGCTCTTCTTCTCACTGCTGCACTGGCTATCCAACTCATAGTTCATCACAAATTCTTTTCATTTTGCAGATTCAAAGTGAACATGGGTCCTTATCCCACAATAACCAGAATAAACAAAGCTCTCCTGGAGTTAGAGGCATTCAAAGTAAGCCACCCATCCCGGCAGCCAGATACTCCTGCAGAGCTACGAGCTTGAAGTCCTGTCCTACTCATTAAATCAAGTAAGCTGGAGCATCAAAAAAGAAAACAGCTACAGCTTGAGTAGGACTTCAGTGCCATCAGGAAGCCCTAGTTCTATTGCCTCACTTTCCTTTGGTTGGGAAGAACAGAAGACCTAGAAGCAGCCTGGATGACTTACAGGAGCTATGCCTGTGCTGGAAAGCTTGCAGCTACTTCTGGCTATGTTTTTTCTATCTGATGCATTTCCATGCAGCAGATTAAACCAGAGGGATTCATAATTATCACAAGTTCCCTTTGTATGGCTTTGAGTTGGGGAATGTGGCCACAGACAGCTGTGAGGTATTGTGCCAATTCTGGACTCCCCATGGGACTTCTTTAATGTTTACAGAAAGAACATCAGGGAACCAGTGTAACAGTGTGCTGCTAATCTAGCAGGCCTGCTTGTCATTGCAGCTGCCGCAGAGCTATGGCATAATCCATCAGCAGTGGATATAATGGATATAAACGGAGCTAGTCTCTGACAGGAGACAGCTCACCCTTGTTGGGTCTCACGGGTCTTGCAAGAGCAAACAGTCAGCAACTCTGCCACCCCTTGCAATGACAAGTGAATTACTACCAAGGACAGTTGATTTGTGCCTCTTATGTCTAGCAGCAGTCTTGTGGAATTTATAATAAAAGGTCTCTCTAGAGCAAAGCTAGGTGACTGTACCATAGCTGGCAAGACACAACCAGCTCTCTCCCATACACTGAAAATGATAGCATTCTCTTCCTTTTACCATCCTCAGACACTGCACTAGGTGTTTTCCTAACACTGTTGCAGGCAATTGCCCAAGGGAATTCCACCCCAGATTTCCTCCAAACCAGAATCATGCTTTTACTTTCACTGTAAGGACTTCTCCAAGCAGCAGGTATAAATCCCACTGCACTCATCCCAAATAAAACCTGAGTTATCTTCAGAGCTGAAAGCATCCTGGGAATTCCAGCCCCAAGACCTGTAGGGCAAGAAGGGAAACCCAGAAGCATGTGACGTGTTCTTCTGCAGGCTCAGCACAGATCCCACTGAATGTTTTGACACCCAAGCCCACATACCAAAGCCAGGGACATCACAGGGAATTTCTTCTCCGCTGGTCCAGTGCTGGCTTAGCTACCCTAAGAGGGAAATACCCACAGCCTTCAGAAAGACTTTGCAAACCCATGATCTCATGTCATGAGAGCATTCACCTACATACAGATACTTGGACTGCCACATTGCTTGGACTCATTTATTGCAATCCATGTCTGTATTTAGGCTGGTGAAGAGCCTTTGCTGTTCCAGGCTTATTCAGGGTATTTTGCATTATCATAGGTCCAGCTGGATCTTGACTGTGCTGTTGTAAAAGGTCCCAGCACAGTTGGAGCCCCCAAAGACCAACACTGTGTGCAGACTGTGCTCCTTTTTATTCTCCTTGTCCACATCATTCAGGCAGGCAGGAGTCAGGTCAAGCAATGTATGGCCAGCCCGGGGCACAGAGCAGAGGTCATGGTGGATCACCGTGCTCCATGAAAGAGTATCTGAAGGAGAAAGGGCTATCAATATTGACAAGCCCATTCCTAGTGCAATGGATGAAACAAATGGACCAGACTAAGTGTTCAGAAGTACCACTGCAGCCCATAGTCATCTTCAGCTGAGGAAATGGGGAGGGAGAGTCACTCACCTAGGTGGAAGACAAAGGCATCCTGCAGGGCTCCCCTGACACTGCAGCCTCCACTGATGAGAACCTTCTGGTTGGACACAGCCAGAGCTGCATGAAAACTGTGACCAAAGCAAAGCCAAAAGCTGACTACAGCATAACCTGCTGGGGTTGTCTCAGTCAGCAATGGCGGGGAGGGAGGGGCTTTACCTGAAGAATGAAAGTTAACTTCTGCTTCTTTTCTGCCCTGATTTGCTGAATAACCCCGAAAGAGTTGTTTATTTGCCTCTGCAGGTCAAGCCGTAATCAAGCTTGAAAAGCTCCTCATTATCCCAAAAGGAGCTATCAAAACTCCTATGTTTTTGCTCTGTGGAGAGCAACAGCAGGCTAGCTGGGCTTTGGTGTGATTTAGATTCTTCTTCTAGGGGGCAAGGGCTTTAGGAACAGCATAGTCCTAGTACAAGAGTTTCTTCCTCTCTGTGTGTCTGTTGTACTTCAAGTACTGTGGAGACCAAACAGCAGGCAAATACACTTACTAGCACATGGCAGAAAACTTGTCCTAGTCTGAAAGGAGAGGAGACTAGGGAAACTAAGCGGTCTGTACCCCCCACACCCTACAGGCACCAACTAGGATAGCACAGGAATTTCTGGTCCCACAGCAGAGGGGCTGTCCACTGTATTTTGACTAGTGGGACAAAGATACACAACTAGATCTAACCACAAGCACTGTTGAAACCTGGCTTCAAAGAGGACAGAGGAAGAAGATAGAAACTATCTGCAATAGGATCTTACCAACGTGCGGAAGGCTGTCCTGCGAGGAGAGGGACTGGTGTGTACTCCATGAAACCTGACAGCCAGGGGAAAGGCAGGTGAAATGTCAAAAAAATCCCAGCCTCATAACTAGACAAAAACTTCCATACTCCTCCACATCAGCAACCTGCCTTATTACCCAGCTTCTTCCAAAAACACAGCTTCTTGTTTTTCCATTCCCTCCCCTCACATCACAAGAAGGTGCTCTGGCTGGTTGGTTGGGTTTTTTTTACCCCGTAGTTTTCCATCTCCATTGTCTACTCAGTTTTTATAATGTCAATGCCACCTCCCCATCTAGCATGCCTCATTTCAAGTCCCTGCCTTAGAACAGCCCTTCCCAAGGCAGCCATCTTACCCAGATCTAGGATGTGCATGTCACTGAGGTAGAGAGAAGCCCTCCGGCCCCCAAAAATCAGCAGCTTGTTCTTCAGTAGAGTAGCTGAATGCCTGGGCAGGGAAGCAGCAAGTGAACAAAGCATCTTTAGCAGTTCCCAAAACTGATGTTTCAGCCTTTGCTTCTGCTATTGGGCTGCCTGCCATAGCTTCAGTCTACACCTGCCTCTACTGCCAGTCCCTACAGCCCAAGGACAGAATCCCATCAGAACTCCTGACAGGAGGTACTGGGAGTCACATTGCTGAAAATATAGCCCTGTCTTAACAAGAAAACAGTGGAGAGCAATGACATAATATTTAGGAAATTACACTGGTGTGGGAGGGAAGGTTTCCTGCTCTGTTTTGGAGGGCTGGAATAAAAGCACTCTCACCCAAGCCTAGGCAGAGGCTTCTTCCCTTCCAAGATGGGCTGATACCAAATTTCATGTTCTGGGTTGAAGATATAGAGCACATTGCTGCAGGGTCCAGCTGCCATTGATGCCTTTTGGGGGGAAGCCCCGCCAAAAACAAAGAGCTCCTTGCAGTAGATAGTTGCACTGTGGTAGGTGAGCTCTGGCATCTTCCCTTTAGCCTGGAGAAAGTTCAACACACATTTGTTACGAGAAGTGTATTATTTGCTGCATGACCCATAGGAAAGGGGTCATGCAGCGAGTTGGACAAGTCTCAATTTTCACTTTATTGAACTCTTTGACCAGATCTTTGCCACAGAGGTAGGCAGCACATCATTTGAGTATTCTGCACCACCAGAACGCTCTGATGAGAGAAGGAACACAAATTCCTAGCCCAGCTTCCTCAGAAGACAACAGAGAACTGAATGATCTCATCCAAGCTTATTCTGTAAAAACCATCTTTACAGCCAGGAAAGAGACAGATAGTCCCTTGCTAATGGGGCTCCCTGCAAGGACATGACAGCAACTAGAGAGCTCTGAGCAGTCCCTGATTTGAGATCAGCTTTTCACTTCAGTGTCCAGCACAGCTCTCAACAGCACCATACAAAATGAGAGGCCATTTCCCTCTGACACTCGTACAATACCTCCCTCCCACAACCTCAGTCAGACACAGCACTCTGCAGCAGCCATTTTTTCACCTTGCTTCATTCATTGTAGGCACAGCCCTTGGTTTCTGCCAAGCTTGTGGCCTTTCAACATAGCCTTTTTATATCTATCAATCCCAGCTAAGCAGCTCAGACAACCTGAAGGAGCAAGGGACCAAGACTACTGGAATAAGGATATGCGAATATCAATTGCCACATTCAGGCAGGGCCTGCCACCCCTCCTGTGCTTCTGTCTTGGAAGAACTGCAGTACTTACAGCAACAAGGAGCCATTTCCAAGTGACTGTGTCCAGAATGTAGATGCTGCTGTTGGTTTTGTCCTCCCTTATGCCCCCAAAGATGTAGATACGCTTGGTGTCTGGGTCATAGGTAGCTGTGTGTCCATGCAAGCACAATGGCATGGCATTCTGTAGCTGGAAACCCACTGGAAGCCAGAAATCACTGTCTGTGGAAGCAATGCCAGATAAATGGTGTAGAAGTTCAGAGATGATCTTGATTTCTCCAGATTTAAAGAACATGTCTTAAAATCTGTACTCAAGATCCTGCTCCCTTCATCTCCTCATCCCCTTTGATTCAGGGTTAGAGGAGACTTGTACGGAAATGTTTCTGTGTAAGTAATGCAGGAGAACACTAACTAGGTGGGGAATAGTAAGGTGGAAGAGAGGATCAGTGAGATGCAGAAAGGTGAAAGGCACTGGAATGGTGTTTCATGATTCTCCACCAGTAACCACACACAGACTGTGTACCCTTTAAAATTCACCTAGCTCTTTCCAGAACTTACACCTTAGCTCCTGGAAGGCTCTCACACACAACTCCACAGCCTCTCATGGCAGCCTATACTGTCAACTCAGCCTGGTGATCCATGTTAGGAGATGTGACACCTTTGCACAAACCCCTGAGTACCCCCTCCCACCTGCATGAGTTGTCCTCAGGTCCCACTGCTCCCATTGCTTTTGATAGCCCTGAAGTTCCCACCAATTTCCATCTTCCAGAACGCATCCTTGCAGGGCTGCTGATCAACACCTTCTCCACCAATAAGAACAGCTGTCCCCAGGTCACTGAGGCACATGGCATGGCACCACCTTGGGCTGGGACTGCCTGGAGAGGAGAGCGCACAGGGCTGAAATCAGTCAGGTGAGACACCCCCAGCTCCCTTTCCTGCTGGGAAAAACAAGGCAGCTGGAGGCTTAGAGGGAAGAAATGGGAAGGCAAGGGCCCCAAGTCACTTCCTTCTGGTGTGGCAAGAGACAAAGCTCCCCGAGGAAGATTTGCTATTTGCTCTGGGAAAGAATTGCCTTACAAGGAGAGATGTCACTGGCAGAGGGAGTCAACAGAGAGCCTGCCTGTATATATGAGGACACGTATAGGCTGCCACTTAAGCCAGGCTTGCATGCCCACCCATCGGCTACCTAACCCCATAAGGAATATCCCAGTTGTGCTATCCCCCGTGTTGCTCCTTGGGAGGAAGGGCTACCTATGCACAGCTTGTTAGTGCCTAATATACAGAACTGGAAGCCTGGAGCTGTTTTCCAGGGATATTCCTCCTACTCCTCTGTTCCTCCTTATCTCCTCTCCCCGGGCCCTGTGGTTGGCTGAGCAACATAAAAAAACACTTTTTAATCAAGGTCTATTCCACATCTTACTCTGTACCTCAAAGTGTGTGACTGAGATTCAGAGGACCTACAGAAGCATCCTGAAGAGCCTGACAGTACTCGAATCGCCTGTACTGAGGGTAACTGCATGGAGAGGAGGAGCATACACATATACAACCTATTTGTTATTCTTGATTACTGGGGAGACAAAGGATGAAGCACAAGAGGCTTGTGACATTAAAGGGAATAGCATCACCGAGTGGCTGAAAAGACAAACCAGGGTCTAGAAATCAGATCCTCACCTTGCAACTCCTTCACTGAGAGATCTGCAGAGGAAACACAGAGATTGCCCCATAAAGCAAGCAGCCAGCAGACATACCACGCAAAGTGCTCAGCTCATCAGAAGAAATGCAGAAGACAGGTAAGAACATGGCACATGTCCTTTGACTAGTCTTGCTGTCATGACTGCATTTTACCCCTCTGATGGAAGCTCATTTTTCCACTTCTCACTGCCTACAGTGAAAACAACTATGATGGAGCTGTATTTGCCCCTCTGAGAAGCAAGACAAGTCACAAAGAAGTCACTTCACATAGGGCCCACTGTGTTATTGTCAAATGTTTACACACCAGCTTGGTCAAACCCTGGAGCTGACTTGGAATTCACACTACAGAACCTAACATTTTTGTTCCCAACCAGCTTCCTTCTCACTGCTGAGAAGGAACTTAGTACAATTATACTAATGACATGTATATATTCCTTTCCATATGCTTCATACTTTAATAATAACCAATGCTGATAGTAGGGGAACAAAGAGACCAATGGAAAGGCTACAGGATATTACAGTACGTAACTTTCTTGTGCCTCAGTTTACTCTTTTATAAATGAAGGGTAACAATACTTGCCTTCAATTTACAAAGCACTTTTACTCATGTGAAGAGAGAGGCATATTATGTTAGCACTAATATTATCCCATGTTCTATTTCTGGCCCTTTCCGAATAGGCAAAATTCATCAAGCAGTTTATCCAAGACTAAGGAGCATTCTCAGTATTTCACAAGCCAAGACAGACAAGCCCATCTTGCCTTGGGCAAAGACAAATGGACTAGGAAGCTGTTGACCAGCAGCATTAACAGATTATTCAGACAAGACCTATAAAATAAACCTGGAAGCTGCCAAGGTTACCTTCTTCATCAAGATCTCTCTCAGATGCTGTGGGTTCAAATAAAACTTTCCTGGGCTTCTTGAGGTGGGCAGGACTCTTCCTCCAGGCCCCACTGGCTTCCACCTTCCTTCCAGGCCTGGATGCTCTAGCAGTCACCTCTGAGCTCTGACTGTTAACCTGTGATAAAGAGTCCCAGTCAAATCAGCCCTGAAGAAGAAGACCTGAGGCTAACATGACTTGTCTGCTCCTGGGCCAGAGATTAGTTTCATGTGGTGGCTGTCTTCAGGCTTGTCTTCCCACTGAGTGTTAAGGGCCAATATACCAACCATTTCAGCCACCAAACGTGTGCTGAACAATGCAGCTACATGCTGCTACATGCCCAGTGGTCTCCTTTCAGACTCCTGGTTGGGATGGGCATGGCTAGCACAGGGCAACTGGAAATGCTGAAAGGCCATCAGTGCTAGGAGTAACTAGGCTGATCAACCATCCCACCAAGGACTGTTAAATTCCACTCTTCCAAAGGCATTCCTATGGAGAGTATAGCTTTCTTTAGCACAAAATCTTTGGTTTCAAAACTTGCTTAGCCAGGTCTCCACAGAGAGAGTGGCAACAAATGTTTCTGCTAGACATCAACTGAGCAGCTACGAATGAGGGAGGAGATAGCAAGGGGAGGGTGAAAAACCAACAGAAAGGCTCCAGGATACACATAACTGCAGTAGGATCCTCCAGGTCCTGGCCAAAGGACTTCTCATCTGCTGGAAGCACTGGTGACTGTGTGGTCTCTGGGACAAGGAAGGGGTGGACAGGTGTACTGCTGAAAACACCTCGGAGCAACTGCAGCAGAAACAAAGACATTGAGAATGGAAGGACACACCAAATGCACTGGCCTCCATGCACAGCAGGTGAGCAAAAATATGTCTTGCAAGGAACAGCTGTGCTGCAAGGGAATAGCCCAGCTTTCATCTGCAGAATAAACAAATAAAAAGCCAGGCACTGGAAGATGCTGAATCCAGTGGCTTCAGCACAAGGTAAAACAACCACAGACCCACCAGGAACAGGAAGTGAATTGCTCTCTGCTACGTATCTCCTGCAACACAAGGTGTTTTGGCAAAGCTGTGTTTAGAGAATAGGTCTGAAGCACCACAGAGGGTTTAAGTTCAGCACAGACATGCATTAACAGGTCCACATTTGGTGGCTCTGCCTCAGAGTAGCAAAATGAAAGGAAAGGAGAGGATATGGGAGGAACTTCTGTAGCTCTGAAGTGACAATATTTGGGGCACAGGGCAGACACAGAGGAGGGTATCAGTTATTTTACCTGTCCATTGACAGTCAGGACAAGCGTCACAGAGTTGCCTTTGTCCATCTCTTCTAACGAGGCCATAAACATATCCGTTCTCCAGTCACCTTCCCACACCAGCGACCTGCACAAGAACCATGGGTTTTCAGCCCACAAGTGACACAGACTAGAGGAAAACTCATGCTCTCACACTAGCTGGTAAAACCCCAAAGACAAAAAGAGATCTAGCACTGAAAGCAACCAAAAGGAAGCCGAAAGGATCACTTGAAAGAAACACCATGGTGGAGGACTGGCAGGCCTGAGCAGCTCTGGGACACCACCACCAGAACCAGGCAGCAGCACAGAGCAAAATGCCTGTCCAGAACACCCCTCCCGACACCCCGGCAGCACCAGCTCCCGACCTGCGGGTAGGCTGCAGCGTGCCGACCCGCTGCGGGGCGATGCCTGGGGACACCAGCACATCCACCGCGATGCTCGTGTCCGGGGAGTAACAGCTCCAGTCTCCCAGCCCGAACACCACCAGCTGCTCCGGCAGCGGCAGGGGCAGCCAAGCCTGGAAACCCATCTTGCTGGACTGGCTGCGAGGGGAGAAAAACAACAGAAAACACAGATAATCATCAAGGAGTAAAAAACAAGGTCAAAAAATGTAGTAAAAGGCTTGAAAATATGTTTATGCCGGGGGAGAGTGCAAGTAGGGTCTTAAAGAGGAAACCGCGCAGGGATGCAATGAAGCAGGTAACTGGCAGCCTGGGAAGAAGTGCAGCCATGAGCTGGGGCGGCGAAATCACGGTCAGCTCCACAGCCAAGGTGAGGCGCGCAAGACCCACCACTCCCAGCCGCTATACGGGGGGCCCGGTCCGCACCCCCTGAGCCGCACCGGCGGCTCCTGAAGCTCCCACAGCACGTAGAAGGAGAGGCCGCCCTCCGGGGCGCTACGCCGTGGCCCCGGCCGGTCCCGGCGGCAGGCAGGGAGCATAGCAGCGAGCGGACGCGCCGGCAGCCGGATGCAGCCATTAAGGCTCCGCGGCGCAGCGCAGCTGTGGGCGGCCATCGGCCATCTGTGCGCCCCGACCGGCGTTAGGAGCGCCCGAGTGCTGGGGCGTGGTGCCCGGAGGGGCAGGCCTGGCTGCAGGGAGGAGGTCGGGCGACTCAGGCCAGCTGCTCTGGCCATCCTAAAACAGGGATGCCCTCATCTCCGTAACGAATTACGCTCGTTTCTAGAGCTCAAGGCACACATCCCTTTCCGGGGAGGGACAGCTTGTTTGCCAGTTCCTAAGTGAGCGGAGATGAGTGGAAGCCCTCAGGGATCGGTACTGGGACCAGTGGTGTTCAACTTCTTTGTCAGTGACCTGGACAGTGGGATTAAGTGCACCCTCAGCAAGATTGCCAGCAACATCAAGCTGTGTAGTGTGATCAGCACACTGCAGGGAAGCGATGTCATGCAGGAGAACCTGGATAGGCTTGAGTGGTCAGCCAGTATAGACCTCATGAAGTTCAACAAGGCCAAGTGCAAGGTTCTGCACCTGGGTCACGTAATCCCAGGCACAAACAGAGGCTGGGTGGAGAATGGCTTGAGAGCAGCCTTGAGAAGAACCTGGGGGTACTAGTGGAGGAAAAGCTGGACATGAGCCAGAAAGCCAACCGTACCCTGGGCTGCACCAAAAGGAGCATGACCAGCAGGTCGAGGGAGGTGATCCTGCCCCTCTGCTCTGGTGAAACCCCACCTGCAGTACTGCATCCAGATCTGGGTGCCTCAACACAAGAGGGATGTAGCCTGTTGGATGGACCAAGTCCAGAGGAGTGTCACAAGGACTATCAGAGGGCTGGAGCATCTCTCCTATGAAGACAGGCTGAGGGGGTTGGGCTTGTTCAGCCTGGAGAAGGTTCAAGGAGACCTTATAGCAGCCTTACAGTACCTAGAGCCCTACCAGAAACCTGAGAGGGACTTTCTACAAGGGCATGTAGGGATGGGAGAAGGGGGAATGTCTGAAACTGAAAGAGGGGAGATTAAGATTAAATATTAGGAAAAATCATTGCTGTGAGCATAGTGAGGCACTGGCAGAGGTTGCTCAGAGAAGCTGTGGCTGCCCCATCCCTAGCAGTGTTCAAGGCCAGGTTGGACAAGGCTTTGAACAACCTGGTCTAGTGGAAGGTGTCCCTGCCTTTGGCAAGTGAGTTGGGACTAGGTGATCTTTACCATCCCTTCCAATCCAAGCCATTCTATGGTTCCATGGAAGGATGGCTCCAGCTACAGGTTATCATTCCTCATTTTGACCAGCAAATGCTTCCTTCAGTCTTCATAGTAAGATAAAATTGATGGGCAAGCAGCTATGAAGAGCAAACACTTTTCTGTAAATAGTCTAATCAGTACTTGGTAACTGAAGATATGTTATTAATCCTTCAGATTAAAAGATGACATAATGGAAGAACTAGCTACAGGGGATCTCTGCAATTGGTGATGACAAGTATGAATATGAAGCACTGGAGGGTAAAGCATTCAAAATATCTGTGTCTATTATATGAGCTTGGCTACTTGCATATTCCTGTCCATTTCTTCAGACATTCAGTATACTCTCAAGCACTGGAGAATTTGAAGAATTGTCTGGAACCATCATCACCAGCTGACAACAGAACATTTTCCTATCTGTCAACAGCCATAACATCGGGTACACTGCAAAGTACATTTTGAGCATGTGCTGCCTCTTTACTGATAAAACTAGGTTTAATTTTATTCTTGGTTTGCTGGAAAGGCTGTAGTTCAGTTTCTCGTATCAAGACACACACTTTTTTAAAGAGAAGACAAAGTTCTTGGTTGCATAGTGAAAAGTTTATTTAAAGGGAATAAATTTCAATATACTTTTACAAATCAGCCACAACACGTCAAACATAAACAGTACAAACCAAGCTTAGAAGGACTACAAGCATGCTACAAATGTAGCCTTCATCTGTGCCCTTCAGCAAGAGGTTCAGTGCCAAATTTTGTTGAAATATTGTTGAAATAGCCTCTCCTCCATTTAAAACTCCTATCTTGGGAGGACATGAAGAGCAAACGGTTGGTGCTGAGATCTCAATTTTGAAGTCACAGGACATCAAAAAACATTCACATCACATAGGTAAGCATTAACAACCATCACAGTTCACAAGGATATAGGTCTGAAAAAGGTATGACAGCTTTACAAGATGTTCCCCATTGAAAGATCTACGTGAGCAACTTGGAGCAGTGAGTTGAAAGCATGCTGATTCCCTCTGAAGAGAGCAGTCACCAGAGCATCCTGAAGGTTGCCAGGAAACCATCTCCAAACACAGCTCCCAAATTGCAAGGTCATTATTTGGCAAAGCCTCCTTAGCCCTCAGCTTTATGGTTGGCATCCAGCTTCTTGCCCAAGGGACTTAACTCATCAGTCCAGATGGGCTTAAACCAGATAGTCTCACTAACGGCTCGCAAAATTCTTCCTCTCTCCCTGCCTGATAAAGGGTACATTTCTTGTATGATGCTTCTGAGAAGGCAACATGTAAAATCCAGAATGGAACATAGAAAAGGCAAGGGGAGTCAGGCCCACTGTCCACCCAGCCTGATACTGTGTCTTTAGCTCCAACAGCACCAGTGTTTCAGAATAAGTTGCCAGAGACTGTTTGGAGGCAAACGTGGAATAACCCCACAGAAAATTCTCCTGGCAAGATGTACTTGAACACTGCAGATTTATGTACCTTCTAAAGCATTATTAAGTTATATCAAATTAATTTATTTAGACAAATGACTTAGCATTTTGACTCCTGCTAAATTCCTGGCTTCTTTCGGTCTAATTCATTAGCCAATCATGGTCAGTTCTGTTTTTCATTCTACCCATTGAGATAGTCATATACGTGACATTATCACATCCAATATCTTCCCAGATATGAGGAAAGGAGAAACAGTCTTTCCCTTCACACTTGCAGACAAAAAAAAAAACAACTCACCTTTTTTTGCTCTGGTCTCTTATCCAGCCTCAATACACATAAGCACATACCACTCAGTGCTGAATTCAGACACTCTTTTTAGAGAAAATAATGAATGGCCACAAGGAATGCTTTTCTGTGGCTATCTAGTGTTCCTCTGGTCCTCAGGTTTACCATCTGTATATCAAAAGGAGTCCTCTGGTGTTCCTTGGTATATGACAACAGCATATGATTTTAAAAGGCAAAGATCTTATGGCACCAGGAAACTCAAACGCCTTTTTATGACTCAACTTACAGCAACAAGGCAGTCTAATGAAGAGCTTAAATCTCCAGGAGCAGCCTATAGGGCTCTCCTTGCCTGATTTTAGGAAGTGTCTCCCTTCTACACAAATGGGCAAAAAAAACAAGGAGAAATCCCTTGGACTAATGACATCTATGGCTCTTATTTCAGACATGCTCCTTGCTCCTAAGGCACCTTGTGATAAATCCTCTGTAGAGTGGCTTTAGTAGGGATAATAAAACAAGAAGGAAGAGTATAAGCAGTGGGGATAAAAGTGAACTCATTTAGGGATTCTCTACCCTAATTCCCCACACGAATCAGTAAGTCTTTTAGCAACTAGGCATTTAACAAGGTTCATCTCTAACCCACCTCACCAGGTCCAGCACCACAATAACTGACCCACTGCAGGCCACAGCTGAATGCACACGTGGTTACAAGGAGATGAGTGCATAGGGTAGAGCAAAAAAGAAAGGTGTGTTGCTGTCCTTACACTCAGTTGCATAGAAACTTCACTTTCTTCTTAGCTCCTGAAATCAGACAACTAAGCTCTCTCTCTTATGCATTTTCACTTTACCTGTTCATGTTAGTGGCTCATTACCAATAATCGACCTGACACCAATATCCTTTCACAAGAGTCTATATTACAGGCCTCCAAAGAGTTTGTGAGTAAATTAAATCAGTACAAGTGGTCCCTGATTTAAGCGATTTTTCACTGTCCTCAGTAAAACACATCCATTTTAAACTCCTGCTCCTACATTACACTTAAAGGAAAAACAAACAAACAAACAAAAACAAACAAACAAACAAACAAACAAAACCAAAAAAAACCAAACCCCCCAAAAAACCCAAAGATCACATAAAACCAACAACAATGGAGATCTTATGAACTCTGGCATAAAAAAATGCTCAACAGATTGTACCCATTGTTAAATGAACAATTATACAATCTATTTTTTATGCAAGTCCTGCACTACATGACTGGCATATCCCTGGCTGAACACGTAGACCTTATTTCCAGATCTAAATTATACTCAAAACAAAATGGAAAACAATTCTGTGCTTTCACAAAAGCAAACCCAAAATGCAAAGAAGCTTCTTCCTTAACTTTTTTGATTTCTCGACAATACACAGGGAGAAGAAACACATTTTTAAAACCTGACATCTTCTTTCCATGGAAACAAGGAAGGAATTTTCCCTTCTCAAGGATTAATTTTCCTCTCTGAATTGCAACTCCCTTTTTAATTGATTTTTCTTTCTAGACCCAAAGTCTAGTTCCAAAAGCCTGTGAATAGAAGGGTTTCCATCACTGCCTCAGCCAGATAGCAGGGTTGGATACAAATCCAGGAGATCCACCAAGCAAAAAATGAAGGCATGAAAAATAAGGTTGCTTGTCTGAACCAACAATGGATTTGATTTTGAATGGGAATGGCTGCTATTAATCACTAGCCACACAGACAAGCTATTGGATTTATCAGAAATTAATGAAGACTATAGACCCTTCCAAAGAGAAGTTGTCACTTGTGTAATGGATACTATCTGAATACCTGAGAAACAACATACTCATGTAATGCAGAAATTAAAAAAGCATAAGCAAAAAGAAGAATTATTCTGTACAACTGTGAAGTTCCTGTTTCCTGCAGATGAAATACTCTGTGCCTAAAACTATCTTATGTTCATAAGAGATAGCAGATACTTCTAGGAAACTTAAGTTTCTGGTGTGAGTAACACACCAAATGCTTTTGGTGCCACCACAGCAGGCCTATCTATGGGCACACTGCATTTGCAGTCCAGGCACATGCTGGTTGGGATGACAAACCATATTCAGTGCTTAAGTGGTCTTAAGTCATTGAAACAAGGAGATGGGCACAGTTCTTAACAAGTGACCTGAGCCTCCTTATAGGTTGGTCCACGCTTCAGAAAGCTAGAACTGAGCAATAGGACTGCCATCTGCAGTGCAATTCATCTAAACTAAAACCACTAATGGCTTGAAAACTAGCACATACTATTTCTGTGCCAGTGAGGGATCAAAATTGGTTGTGAGGCAGGCCATACTTCTTGCAGCATGACAAAATGTACTTCAAACCTTAATGTGAGCAACACACAGAGAGGAGGGGGAAGTAGCTGCAAATTAGAAACAGGAAGGCCTTGCTGTAAGGGAAACAGTTTTTTAGTGGAGATAACCCACTAGCCTGCAATAAGCTGTGCAACTGAGTATCGATAATTGACTTCATTGTAAATAAATCCTAAATATAAAGTGGAGTAGGTGCCAGACAGTGCATCATACACTAACCCGCAGTGCACGCAGGGTTCTGTGGAACTCCCAGCAAAGGACCAAAGGCAGTTGTTGAGTGGAGCAGTGCTGACAGTGTGGTCAGACAGAAGGGTCTTTCCTATCTTACTCTGCTTAGTGTCTAGGAACTTGATAGACAAATACTATTAAAAAAAAAAAGAAAAAAGACAGCACTTTACCCACATTGCTCAGGCCTGATCCAAGTGCTGTACAGAGGCCACAGGATGGTCCTTCATGTCCCCCAGGAAAGGCTAAAGGCAGGAATAGTCCTCCCCAAGCTGCTAAATGAAAGAGCATCTTACTCTGACAGATAAGAAGCTCTGTATACTGATACTGTTCTGCCTCTCTGCAAGGTTGCCCTGTGGCTGCCCCACTTGAATAAGGCAGCTTCGCAGTTCCCCTTCACTGAGTGCACTTGGTTTTTCAGAGCCCAAAGCAGCAACAGCTCTGCTCTTTACACTGACCAACTCTGCTCCCTGCCTGCTCATCCCAAAAACCACTGTGCTGCAACCAGCGTTCTTTGCATTTCCACTCCTCCTGCTCCCAGCGTGGGCTGCTCTACTGTAGACTGACTAATCTCTCTCTTACCATTTTGACCTACTAAATTGCTCCATGGCAGGGAATAAGTAAACAGAGATAGTTAAAAGAAGAGCTTGAATATTGAGCAAATTGCACAGCATTACAATATATCCTTAATAAGAAATATGCATCCCTCCTAAGAGAGTGAAGTCTTTGGCTTTAACTACCCAAAATCAGTTTGTCCATCATTCCTCTCAATAGAAGGAACAAGTAAGGGTGCTTTACCTGGAGGATTTAAAACTCACAATTCTACTGGAATATTTTGTATCTCTGCAGAGGTATCAAAAGATGTAAATATAGCAGTATTCTTAGAAAAGAGAATGATTTCAATTTAAAAGTATTAAAATAAACAAGTTACAGATAAACATGATTTAAAATTCATCTCTGAAGGATTAACTTAATCCTTGTTCAACTCTGCCAGTATTTGAGCAGAAGGTGATCACCAGTGCCACCACTAGCCACAAAAACATGCCAAGGAACTCCACCCTTTACCACATAATCAGGGTTAGCAATGGCCTTGCTGATTCTGGTACACAGAAAGGATTGTTTAAATCCCATATCTTTCAAGTTTCTGAGCAGAGATATTATTCTTTAACAATACCTTTGCAACAGCAATAGCAGCAGACAAGCTACAATTCTCTGGGGAGCCTTTTTTCCTTGCTACGTACAGTATTATCCAGCTGGCAGCAATGCCAGTGAACCAACATGCTGCTACTGTGAAATACTCCCTATTTTTTGGCTGCACTCCAACCTTCTCATATTTACCCAGCACAGCAGTAATTTCTTCTCCTTCGCATCTGGATTACAGAAAAACTTTTGGCGGTCACTGAAGTTTTAATCATCCGCATACCGCTGCTATCAACAGGTGTAACATCCAATTCTTAATCTGTAGGGAAACCTTCTTATGGACTTGTAGGAGTGCACCCTCTCTCCCATCCCTGTTTGAACACGTGCTGTGACTGCTGTCCGGGGCTGCCTGTTGTAGCATGGCCAAGCCACTGCAGCAGGGGCTTCCGCTAGCCAGCTGCGCCCCCACCCGCACGAGTGGAGGAAGCACTAGGTGCTGGTGACCGTAGTGGTGGTAGGTGATGACATCTAGGTGGCTAGGTGACAAGCCAGCTGTGCTTTTGGCTCACTGCAACTGACAGCCACCCTCTAGTGATGCAGATACAGCAGGAAAGTTGGAAAAGTTAGTCACAAAATAGTAATGGATCAAAAATATTTTCACTTCGTTTTGTACCAGTGCAACAGATCAAAACCATGACCACCTGAACTTGGCCTCTGGGCATTTACCAGCTGTGACATGAAGGCCCAGCCCAATGCCTGCACAGAGCAGATCTCCCAAAGTTTTACAGAAAGAGCAGCTGCCTGTGGACAACCAGGCACACACAGCTACCTTTCACCACTGGGACAGAAGGGAAGGAGGGTGTGGGGAGAAACCAGTTAGTGTCCGAAGAAGAGCCGGCAGAACTGTGCCTTGGTTCCGTCACACAGCAGTGCCCATGAGGCAGTACCAGGGTTGGGTGGCAGCCTGCTACATTCACCATTACCTGCCTGCCGTCCCTGCCCTTCCCTTTAGTTCAGCTAGTGTAATAGACATGAAAGAACAGAGTCTTATTGCGGAGGAGAGAGTATGAGTTGTCAAATTTCAGCAGGTAGATGCCCTCGCCTGGGTACTCGTGGCTGCCTGCCTGCACCTCCCGATGGCTGTTCCTCCGATATACTGGCATGATCTCTCCGTAGCGGTTCCGCAGATAGCTTTTGGAGCCTCTTTCCACATCACCAACAGGGGCGAGTCCTAAATGGGAGAGAGGAGATAAGTAGAATGGGAGAGGAGACAAGTAAGCAAGCCAGAGCCAGTTAAGCTACTAGGTTGTCCAGAAAAGATCAAGACAAGAATACAGCAGAGGCATGCAAGTATATGGCTGGCTAACTGTGACAGTATTACCCAGTGTCTGCTCTGACCTTTCTGCAAGTCATACCCACAAAGTCCAGCTTTCCTTACCATGACAAAGGACATGCCAAGAACCAGTTCTCTTTGGAATATAGATGGGACAGCATCCACTTGCCTGCCAGCCTGGTCTCCTCTCCCTGGACTTATCTTTTAGACACCTTACTTTATATGCACAGTACTGGAGCAGCGATACAGACTTGAAGCAAAAGAAAGGCAGGAAAGCTCTTAGCTATAACCTCACTGTGTTTATATCTTCAGTCACTTTTCCAAGAGGATTCCTCATACAGAAACTTAGCCCTTATTGGAAAATCTGCAAAATTAATTTCAGACACCAACTCCCCAGCTGCTCTGGTCACACATACACTGAAGCCACAGAACAGGCAACATCACTGTGTGTTTCACAAGTACAAAGACACAGACAGCAATCCTCTAAAATGCAGTCAGCGGCAGCTACTGATGTAGTGGGGGAAGAAAAACAAACAACCCACAACAAAAAACTTAACCAAACAAAAAACCAGAACAACAAAACAACCACCACCAAAACCCCAAAACACCCCTAGAACAAAACAACTAACCAAAAAGCCCAGAAACAAAACCTTTTTGACTACTCACCACCAGAAATTTCTCAGCCTGAGAGGTTAAGAAAACCGGCCAAGTTAAAATTTGAGACCCTGATCTTTTTATTAGCTACAAGTTGAACAAGTGAATTCTGATCTTATTTTTCAATTTGTTCAATTTTAAGAATGCTCTTGGGAAAGAACAGCCACTGACATACACTGAAGCAGGAAGGGCTAAGTGCTTTCTCATCACAGCCTAACCAAGAACACAAAAGGCTGCAGAGATAACAAATGGGCTGAGTAAACAAAGTAGATGGAAATTACAACATCTGACAGTCTCAGCAGCATATCAACAAGAACCACAAATTAACCCTTATAAGCTCTGCACTAACCTTCGTTTTCCTCCTCCTCCTCTTCATCCTCCTCATCACTGGATTCGCTGACCTGAACAGTAATGGCAGTGCTAGTAACTGTGGTCCAGTCAAAGTAGACTCCAAAACCAATGTCGTAGTCATCTGTAGCAAACTCCCAGCAAATGCATTTCCCATGAGGATGGGTTGGCACACGGACTGTCACCACCTCGCCTCGCTTCACCACCATCCGGCCATTCTTCTCCCTTCCCACCTTGGCTTTGAATTCCTTCGTCTTCTCAGTGGTCCACATGGTGGGTGGAGCCAGAGGGGGAGGCTGAGCTGAGACAAGGGAAAAGATCGTGGGCTCACCTGATTTTTCACTACTGACAAACTGTTACCTGAAAACACTGAAGCTATTTCCAATAAGGCTTTTGCACTCTAGACCCTACCCCCATAAACCCTGGACATGAAGCTTTCTTACTCACTATCCAAGAGCCCAAATTTCCAGCAGGAATTAGCAGTGTCTCAAGGATAGCCTCTGCTCTTCTCTAGGCAGGACAGGCACTTTAAAAGTCTTTTCATGACTCACCTTTCCTCTGTTCACCAAGGAGACCTGCAGTCTCCAGCTCAGCTGAAAGGATATCCACAGCACCAGTGTGATCTGACTGAATCATGACTATATCTCCTGCTCCTTGAGGTACATGGTAGTTGGTCATTCGAACAACAGCTTCCTGCACAAAGCACATAAGAAACACAGTCACAAAGACCATCATGGTAAGAAAGTCCCTAGCTGGATTTAAAACAACATATTAGTAATTTAGGCATCTTTCTGAAGCCAAGTCAGACCCTGCAGAAACTTCTATTAGTTAAAAAGAACTATCTAGCTCCAAGACACCTCTCTGCCTTTTTTCCCCCCACAGCATCAAAGCCATGAACTTTGAAGTCACATGGTGTGTCAGTCTCACAAATCACACACCCCTAGGCCTCCCTGTGAGTCCCTGGGCAGGCACATCGTTGCACCTGCCTCAGAGTTAACTGTCACCTCTCAACAAAGCAGGAGCTTTGCAGATTACGACACTTAGAAAAATTTCCTAAGACACAGTTTTTCCGGGGAAAGCCTTTCAGCTCCATGTGCATCCATACTACAGCTACAGTCAAGCTGTCCTTTGTTGCATACTAGTTAAAAGTGAATCTGGTTGACTAGGGCCAGCCCTCTTTCCTCATATATGCAAACTCACAGCTCCTGAGCTGGGTGCTACTTGTGTGGGTTTTCCCAGCTGTATCTGTAACACAAACAAACTGGCTGCTGACTACATGAAACAAAAGACAGCAGTCACTTTCAGCTCCTTCTTCCAGGAATCTGCAAGAAGGAAATTCCCAGAAGCCCCAAATGAGAGGCAAAAAGTGAGAATCACCTTGAAGCCTTAGCAAGCCAAAACTGCAAGGAAGTGAGGACTAGCCAAAGACAGAAGAAGGATTTTGCAAATCAGACTGAATCTGTGTTATACTACTACTTTTGTCTTAACCTTTAAAGCCTCAATCCCATAGCCATAAGATAGCAGTAGGGTGGAAGAACTATTGCTGCACCTCTGTCCTTGCTTTCAGACATAAGAAACACACACCTACCTTTTTGAGGGACTGGATTTCATCAGGCAGCTTCTCTTTCAGTTCAGACACTTCCCTGTCCTCCAAAGTGCCAGCTCCTTCCTTGGAATCCTCTGTCGTGCCCGCATTCACAGGCAACCCAGCCTGTGACCTTTCAGATGAAGAGTACTACAATTCAGCACTTGCACCCAGGACACAGCCAGCAGAGGAATCTCTCTGCCGTAGAACTCAAATTTAAATAGACTGAAGGGAACAAGCTTCTGTGGTGAGCACCTGCCATCTGCACACAGAACCCTTTTTACCCAAGTTCTGCCCTCATCTCTAGGTGGCTATCTTCCATGTGAGCCAGAGGGAACAACTTCAGTGAGATACTTTGTATTTACCATCCTTTAGGCAGCAGTAACGCCCTGTACTCACCACACAACATGCCAGCTCACCAACACTGTAGCAAGTACAGAAAACAGTAGCAACTTTCTGCTCAAGAAGAGACAACTTTGTTTATGCTAGCTACTACATGATACCTGCATACCCTATCAGAGGTCAACTGGAGCAGTGAAGATTCAGAACGGTTTTGACAGCCATCCTGAAAACGCCTTCCGTTTTAGTGGCCCATTATGTCTTTCCTATTACCAATCTCCAGGGAGACAGGGAACACCCAGGTGTCTCTCTGTCCTATTCGAATATGCTGCGCAGAGAAGCAAGCCATGAGACACAGAGCAGCAGCACAGTAATAGCAAAGAGGTCCAAGTACTGCACTGTGACACAAAGAAATGGGCATGTTAAAACAAAAAGAAAGGTATGTAGCAGGAAGAGAATGAGCAAGAAAGCAAACATTTTTGAAATATATTCTCTGCTGAGGGTTTTCTTCTAAATTACATTAAAGAATGCTGCATATTGTCTATAGCTGGAAAGAGTTATCATCCCAGCTGAACTCAGATGGAAGCCAGAAGAGTCTCTTCTAACATACTCTCAGCATGAAACTTCCATGAGAAGCAACCTCGTCTTTAGGAAGAATAGGAACAGTTGTCCTTTCGAAAAGCAAAGCCTTCTCACAGCACTATAAAGCCAATGTCAACTGCATTGGACTAAAGTATCAGAAACATGAGAACACTACTAAGAGAAAATATGTGCATTTCCTCAAATGTCTCTTTTCAGAAATGAGAAATTCTCATTAGCAAGGGATTAGGCTCTCGGTATAGCATGGAATAATTTAAAAACAAACAAACAAACAAAAAAACCCCACCAAAAACAACAACAACAAAAAAAAACCCATACACAGCTCAACCCAGACATGTTCTTTCCTGCATCCTTAAAGAAGGCTAGTACAGGTCAAATGTGGCTTTTGTTTCCAAATCTTTAATCATATGAGGATAGAGATTTTATCCAGAAATAAAGCCATTTCTTACTTAAATTCTCTGAACAGTATGATAAACTTTCCTGGGAATGGAATGATAGACCAGAAGGTCTGCAAGAGCAATTCAAATGAGCTGAATACCACGATACACAAAATGGCAGCAGATGAACAATATAAGAAGGGACACTTGTAAGGGACAATTTTTTAAAGGAAGAACTCTCACAGTGATCTCTAACAATTTCTCTCCGAGTCCAGGCAAAATGTTGATTGCTCAGAAGGCTCTCTCTCCATCAACACAGGAGCTAACACATTGGGAATTTTTTCTTCCAGACACCACTAAAGCCCAAGGCATTCACTGAAACTTTAGCAAGAGCTACACAAGTTTTATAAGCAGTTTACAAAGACAGGGTTCAGCTGATTCCTTTTCAAAAAACTCACATTTCTGGACAACCCCCATTCTTTTCAATGGGGATTAAGTTAGACAAATTTATCAGGTACATCTACAAGTATCCAGTACCTACTGTGGCCATGTCACTCACAGTCTGTATTGAAGAAAACAGAGACTCACAGTCTCTTTGAAGAAAACTCAAGGACATAATAAAGAGATGGAAAAACACATTTGGAGTCAAGAAGGCTCATGCAGACGCCATTAACATCAAACCAACATGCATCAAACTGCTATTTTAGCAAGAAGGGGGGTTTGATGGTGGTGGTGGGGGGTTTGTTCTGGATTCCCCCCCTGCCCTCTTTTTCAGTGTGGTTGTGGTTTATCTGTGTGATTCAATTAAATCATTTATGAAATTGTATCCTGTGCAACAAATGTATGATGGCAAACGAAACTGCACTGCATATAGTATTAGTGTTTGTAACCAGTGCAATTGCTCAGTCACAAACACCACAAGCCAAACACATAGCAACAAGACAAACATCTGATAACAGGGTTGATCAGCTGCATTAATGAAGGTGTGACACAGAAAACAGAATGAAGAAAAAAAAAAACCCAAAACATTGACAAGAAAACAGTAAAAAGTGTTTTCTTGCTGAGCTCCCACCAGAATTATAAACAGTGCGAATGCCTAATTATTAAGGAATCCTTCAAAGTAGAGAAAATTTCCTGCTGAAAGTTTATTAGCTCTTAAAATGGACTGCAAGGCTCCTTCTAAGCTGAATGATTCCATGATTTGAACAGCTGAGCCATTTATTAAACATAATTTTGTAAGTTTTAAAACAACCTTAAGCCTGTCAGAATAGTCTCTCCTATACTGATTCTGGTATATGCTGTCCCAAAGCAGACAATTCAGTCTCCAGTCCCCTCTCTTCACCTACACAGAATCAATGGCCACATGGAGCAGGTCACAGGGGTGAAGCAGACTGCCACACATGTGGGCCACAATACACAAGAAGATCTTCCTACCTGCTCTGCAAAGTACTGGACTCCAAAGAATCAATCAGCTGATCTGCAGGCTCTGTCTTTTGGGCTAAGTCTTCATTTTCTAACAACAAACAATATATGGAGAGAAGGTGAAACAAATTTTGGTCTCAAGAATACACAGATAAGATGAAAAAAATCACAGCCAGCAGTCAAATGTTGACAAGGTCACACGGCTGTGGAATGAAGAGCTATGCCAACCAGTTTTTCCATGTTGAGCTATATCTATCACCTTGTCTAACAAAGATTTTTAATTGCCTCAACCCCAAGAAAGGAAGAACAAAAAAACATGCATGTTTTTCATGCAGAACCACTCTCAGAAGCTCAGGAACCTCCAGTCCTCGCTTTATAAGGACAGAACAAGGCCAAATTTCATCATGTAAAACCGTGCTGATAAAGCTCTGGAAAAAAATCATGCCGTGGTTCCCACAGGGCACTGACGGGATGGAAATTCCTAGGTCACTGCTAAAAGGACTGTCTATAAAGATGACTCTAGGTCTCCCCTGAGTCTCCTGATCTCTGGGAAAGCTCTGTCCCCATGCAACTGCGGTACATGCTTCAGTGCCCCTCTGTATGGTCGCTTTAAGGCAGCGAACTGGGCACGGACAAGTTCCAGCTTTTGCAGCTGCTGGCCGTTTGGAAGAGTCAGTCTGGAGCTGGGTGGCACCTCCAGCCCACAGCACCAAGCCCCCAGCAGAGATCATCCGGCTTCCGGCTAAATGGGGCTTCTTTCACAAGGGAAAGCATCGTGTCCCTAATAAACCTCCATCAGCGCTCGCTCGTTCCACTGCCGGGAAGAAACACCGGGAACCGCTGCTGTAGTTTCGGGAGCTGGAGCAGCAGGCGAGCCCAGCACCCCGTTTACAGCGGGGCCGGAGTCCCCGCAAACGCGGGTACCAGAGACAGAAGGCACCACAGCAGCCAACCCATCCGGTACAGCAAATGCTAGCCAAGGACTAACTCCCGATGCTGCTCTTCGCCAGAGGTACCTTGTTTTCACGGGAGCAAACTACCACTGTGGAAATACGGCTTCTCTGGCAGAAAGGAGGACACCCATCACGGAAGCTCACGGGGTTCTCAACGGCTAAAATACGTGTCCCCGGGCCCGCAGCCCCGCAGGCACTGCCCGGCGCCCCCTCGGGCGGCTCAGCCCAGCCCACCCCGCCGCCGGGGAGGGGGATGCTCCTCCTCAGGGACCGCGGCCGGGCTGCAAGCTCTCGACCCAGCCAGGGCAGCGCGCAAGCGGGAAGCCGCCCGCCGCCAGCCCGGCTGCTGCCCCCACTACCGAGCCCGTACCTGAGAGGCCCTGCGAAGCGGATCCATCCGGCGCCCCAGCAGCCAGGGGCTCGAAGCGGTAGCCGGCGGCGGCAGCCAGCACGTCCGACATGGGCAGGGCTGAGCAGCCTGCCGGCGCGCGCGGGGCCGAAGGCGACAGCCAGCCGCGGCGGAAAGTGCCGAGTGAAGCCGAAGTGCTGCCACCGACAGCGGAAACACCCGAGCAAGAGAAGCCAACCGAAGCCGAGTGGGCGCACGTGAGCCTGACAGTAGGTGGTGCCTCTGCCTCCCCCCTCAACAACGCAACCAATCAAAATCTAGTTCCGCAGAGCCAGCGTGACAGAGGCTGACCGCGTGGAGGGGGGTCGGGAGGGAACAAGGGGTTACCTCCAGGAAGTCGCGGTTGCCATGGGAACAGGGCCCCGGAAGGACGCTTTACCTTGGCGGCCTAGGGATAGCGCTGATGGAACAGAGACTGGGGACGGCGGGGCCGGAGTCCGCATGCCCCTTCCTGGCGTGGAGCACCGAGGAAGTGGCCCAGTGGGTGGTGCAGCTCGGCTTCCCCCAGTACGAGGTGCGGGGTCCGGCCCGGGAGGGAAGCTCCCGCCTGAACTGGTGGCCCTGAACTCTGTGTGTACGTGAGCGTGTGTGAGCGCTGACGGAGGGCCGGGAGTGGCCGAGGGCGACCCGGGCCCATCCGCCTTCCCCTCCGCTTTCTTGCTCAGGAGTGCTTCAGGGCCAACGGCATCACCGGCCGCCGACTCATCCTCGTGAACTGCTCCAACCTTCCGGCCATAGGTGTCAAGGACTTCAGCCACATGCAGGTGTGGGCGGCGCGGGTCCCGGAGCCCCCTCCTCAGCCCCTCAGATCCCAGCTCTGACCCTTTATGCTTGCAAGCCAGCTAGGCCACAGCCTGGCCACCGAGGCAAATGGCTTATTCAGAGAGGGAGCCTGAAACTGGACAACCAAATTCGTTCACCCAAGCACTTATATCCCTTGAGTCTTTTAAGATATAAATCCTTAGCTGGCTGGAGATTGCGGGCTTCCTCTCTGGGACACCTAAAGTGCATCAGAAGTGCTTGGCCTTTTGTTAAGCCTATGTTGCTCTTCTTGCCTCATGAAGTTGCATAGCCAGATGCATATGCCTTGCTTGGATATCCCCCAGAATTAACTGTTTTTTCAGTATTTTCCCACTTACTTGTAGAACTTTAAAAAATCTAGTCAGATTTAACCTGCAGCAATTCAGCCACTAATCACAAGCAGCAGAAGGGCAACATGTTATTACTTCCTTGTTTTACACTTCACTGACCACAAACAGCATCTGTCTCTTTCTTGTTTTATAAACATGTAATTGTCATTTTCCTCTCAAACCTACATCTTTCATTTAACAAACACTCATAGTTAAGCTAACTGGTACACTGAAGTTTGGGGCTACAGCTTCCTGAAAGTTCAGAAAATAAGAAAGTTGACTTAAATTTCACTACCCTCCTTCCCATCCCTACTGGAAACCACAGATGGACTCAGGTCTCCATTTACAGACCCAAAGCCTTTTTTTCACATCATAATTTAAAGTTGCTTTCCCAACACAAGAGGACACAAGGTAAAAGTTCAAATAACCAGGAAGGAAGAAAAATCTTTATGCTTCAATGACTATAGTATGAACACTATGAGTTTTATTCTAGAGCACCAAAAAGCTATTTCCCCATGGTTCTGTCTGGCTGCACAATCAACTGTTTGAAACGAAATATGCCACCAAAAACCTTTCCTATTGACATGACTTTGTTGGTTAGAGCAGAAGGCATCAGATTTTAATCCTTATTTTTTCAGACAGGAGCCCTTTGAGAGCATTTCTAGTACAAGCAGAGACAGCCTTTTTTAGTCATTTGTACTTACCAAAGATAGCAATAATTTTATAGGCTTTGAAAGCCTCAGCCTGAATTTGGGATAGAGGGATTATGCATGGTGGTAATTTAACTGCTGAGAAACACTAAACTATGGGTTAGGGATATCAGCTGTAACCCATTCTTCCTCGTGTAGAAACTGTAATTCCACAGGGCTAGAATACTGCAGCAAGCTTGGGAATGAGACTCTCTGTGATGTTTTCCAAAGCTTTCAAGTGAATTGCGAACATCTTACAGACTACAATGGAACTTGGATGTTCCTGAAGATCATGCCCTTTCCTGATGGTTCTTAATGTTTTAGAGAACTTTGATAGAATCCAAGCATGCAGAGCTCTGAGTAGGTTGTGGCCCTGTGGGTCTTTCCAGAAGTGTGTACTAGAGCAGGTGCAAAGTTAAGGCCATAACCCTGAGCACATAAGCCAACAAGAAATATCATTGGAAGTCTATAATCAGTTGAAACCAAGATAGTTACTATAGAAATTAATGTGATAGCATCAGCTTAGTGAGATAGAAAATTTTTGCAATTAGGGGAAATGGCAGTTTGGTAGAGAGCTGCACAGTGAATTATGTGGAGGCTGTGCAGCATGGGCAAGTGAACTTACTGCTGGTTTTCATTCCACTCTACTGATATTTTAAATATCGAGACCACTGAAGATGCTGATCTGGTATTCTATTGGTGTCACACAAAGTAGGGTACTGCTCTTCAGAGTCACACCAAAGCTGGGGAAAAGTTTTGACCAAAAGCTGTGAAAGATTAGTAAAAACTTGTAAATTGTATTTCAAGGCTTCGGTTGAAGGTTACGTTCACAGAAGTGACTTCAAAAATGATGGCAGGGTTCTGTTCACTGACAGTTCTGGGTGCAGCTGTCTCAGGCAGCTCAGTCACCTGTCATTTTCTTACTGAGCAGTATGGCTTATTGGCTTATTGGCTTAATTAGTTTTTACAGCTCTTCTGCGTAAACTCTGTTGTTGACAGTATAACTTAGCAAACAGCAGTGGTTTTGTGTTACACAGAATAGACTCCAGCTCATTCACCCATAACTTGTTTGTTATGCAAGTGCAAAGAGGAAAGCAGAGCTGTATGTGCCATGAAGAGGCCAGCTGCAATGCCATTCCCCACAGTAAATCTGGAGAAATCTGCTTTGCTTTACAATATCACAGGGCTTATGGGTTCAGATCCCTCTTGAGTTGCAACCTTAAGTGTGAAATTGTTCCAAAAATCAGAAATTCCATTCTTGTTCTTGCTGCTCTGATACAGAATGAATGGTATTAGCTGTTCTCCTGTGAAATGAGGATTTCTGGTATTTTGTCTTGTATTTCAGGAGATTTCACAACATGTACGAGAGCTGCTAGGGACTGAGGAGCCTGCCTTCAGCAGATCCATTGCCCTCCCATACAGAGACAACATGGGTCTTTTTCTGGAGCGAAAGTCCTCATCAGGAAAGAAAGCAGATGCCCTCACTTTCTCACAGTTTATCAAAGAAGCAGGACTAGAGCCCTATACTACAGTTCCTCCTTTGCAACAAGCCCAGACTGGGGTAGAAACAGATGCCCTCCCTGCATCACAGGGCACCCAGAGGCAGGATTAGAGACTCACACTGCACTTGCACCCTTGTAAGAAGCCCAGCAGAATACACCAGAATTATCTGGAATTTTGTCCAAGGAAGTATAGTTCTACCTTCTCGTGACTGTAGAAAAGGCAATTGCAGCTCTTAGCATTTTGATGACAGCAAGCACATCCCTACATTAGCTCTTTTCTGCAATCTTTTGTTTGCTTCCAGGACTAAGTGAAGCAGAATCTGTAAACCAGTCTGTACCACTGTCTGTCTTTCAGTTCTGCTTCAGAGTTGATTAAAAAGACAAAAAATATCATAGACATATTTTAGTTACCAGTGATGGATAGCAACTTCCTGGCAGCTCCCAGGCTTTAGTGTCTGCCAACAGGGCTCACTTTAAAGCCCAGATGTAAGACAGCACACACAATAACTGGTATACAGGTGTGGTGACAGCTGCTGTCAGTAACTGTAATTAAGTGAGGGGCTTACTTACAACATAAGTAACTAATCCCTGGCCTCACTGCAGAAATTATTTCCTGTGAGGCAAAACCAGTCAGTGGTTTATCATAGTAAACTGTACTGAAACACATGATAGATGATGGCAAGTATAAGAGAATACTGTAAGCTGAACTAGCGGATTTAGGGAATAAAAAGTGCTTTGTCCTGGGTGCATCTGTACAGAATATCCAGTTACCTTTTTTTTCTTGAAGGAAATATCATTCAGTCTGTGATGGTGGAGCACATTATCACCAGCAAGGAAGTATGAATAAGTGCTGATGAAAGCCTGTCTCAGCAGAAAGACTACATCATTGTTATTGTCTCGCATCAATGGCTGCCTCAAGATCCCCCATGGAAAAATAAATTGAAAAGAAAAAAAAAAAAAGAGACCAGCCCCACTCCTGTTTAGTTCTTTGCACCCTGATTCTGTAGCCACTACAGAATAACTGTAATTTGGTTTTGCATTTCAGCTTTCTAGTGAAACTGCAACAGAAACCCAGTGAAATGGAAGCAGTTTGTACGCCAAGATGGCTAGGTAATAAGCAAATTCAGACCAAAATAAGGCAAGACTCGGACAGTTAGAGAGAAACAAGTCTGCTGAGCAGCCTAAAGGGTGAAACTTGTAGAAGCAAATGTGTACATTGGGTATTTGGCTGGAGACACTAAGAGTGAAGAGTGCTGGCTCTTGCATCCCTCAGTCCTGGGAGGAGGCTGGGATGAGATCTCAGCAATGCTTTCTGATCTAGGCTTTGTTAGAGTTTATGAGGGTTTAGAATAATAGTTGTTTCCTCTGGGCTTTCTGAGAAAATGTCGGAAGCAGCTATGGAGAATGAAGTCCTCTCATCCAATGTCACACCACCCTCTGCTGCAGCTGAAGGAAGAGATGTCTTGGTGCTGATAGGCCCACCTTGCTTTGTAGGCCAGTCTCTAAAGGCTGCCCGGTATAGTAGAGCAAGATGGCTCTGGACAAGCTTACTCGTTTCCAGCAACTGGCTAAAGGGAGACTCTCTCAGTCGTGCAGCTATCAGGTCAAACCAGGGAAAGGCTCTGGGAAGTGGATGTGCTTATGGGCAATAGCAGTCTGAAGCAGCTTGCTAATTAATGGTAAATAATGGTTTTATTTAGTGTCTGACTACAAGTCTCTTTCTGGGGTCTTTGAGAAACAATCAGACTTGAATACTTGAATCTAAAGTGTTCCAGGCATTACTGTATCATGCAGAGCAAAACTGACCCTAATGGCTCTAGAACAACCCTGCACAAGCAGGAATCCTTTCCCTCAAACAGTGTTAACATCCTCAGTAGTCCAGTCCATGAGGTACCGTTAGTTCTTACTTGTAAGCGCTGCCCTCTCTACATATTCCCATAGGAATTTTTTTTCTGCATTCAATGCCTCAGCCCCAATCACTGGCTTCAGACAACAAAGCAGCCAAACAAGAACCAAGGACAAAATGACTCGGGCTCATGGATCAGGTCCTTTACTGCTTATACATCACCTAAGGCAATCTTCCCCAGCACATAATACGGTCCTAAGGGCAACAAACAGCTCAGCGTCTTTCAACTCAACAACCCATGCTTCAGCTGTGGGAGGAAGCACGCTTCAGAGCAAAGAGGAAGCCTGGACTAGTACCTCAGCATTCAACCCTTTACTTACTCCTCTTGAGTCACTGAAGAGGGAAAATCTTTGCTGATGAAACTCTTGCACACAAACTGTGGGCAGGAAGTTTTGTGCTCTGTGCAGACGGGGTAGCGTTAAGGGAAATGGGGGTCACTGAGTAATTTCAGTGCCTGCTGGTGAGGCAGGCTCTGCCACATGCTGCTCTTCAGGGCTGCAGAGAAAACAGTCACCAGCCATTCAGCATTGACTCCTACTTTCCCTGCAGGACAAACAAAATCAAATGTCAGTTACCACTGTGCACGCAGGTGTGAAGGGATATTCTCATCTCCCACTCATGTGAAGAATTGCACTGGCAATCAATCAATCAGAACTGGTTTATTTGAAACCTCTGGTTTAGGATCATTTAAGGTGAGGGATGCTGAAATTAATAGTAACAAGCAGGATAGCTTATGTTTCCTTTAGCTCATTCTCACTGAGTTAACAGGAGCCATTTACAGGCTGCATATAAAGTCTTCAGCAACTCAGCCATCATGGCATGATGAGCACTGTAACTGCTTTAAGAGCATTCAGCTACACAAGAATTAGATGTGCATGTGAAAGTGTACAATGAAATAGTGATGGTCAGAGGTAGCCCAGCAATAGGAACAACATATTCATGGAAATAGAAGTTGGGCCTGAAGGAAGAGGCTTTGGACCATGTTCTTGCTCAGAAAGCATATCTCAGCTCCTGCTCCCCTCTTTAGGCTCAGAGTTAATATTGTGTCACAATGAGAAATGGCAGCTCTTCAGCAACTTGTGGCAGGTACATGAAAAGCAGTGCTCCTGAAAGAGTGACCCCTGAGATCCTGATCAGAAAAACTGGTGAAGATGATACATACTACTTCATTTTGCCCATTCACTTCTTGTACACGATACCCCCTTCCATGCACGCTATTCCCACTCCAGCTTTAGCTGTATGGTGGCAGGATTCCTCTAGGAGGGTTTTCTTACATACTGCCCTCCTAACAAACAACATTATCGCCAGCCCAGACCCAGCTTTGAACCCTACAGGCAGGGGAGCCACTGACTGCAACTCCTCAGAAGAACTGCTATTAAGTTTAGGCAAAAAGGGCTTTTACCTGGGGCACTACAGGGGCACATTGCCTGCACAGCAGTGCAGTCTGTTCCTTTCACCCCCCACTCATGGATGGATATGCTCCTGGCCGGGCACTGATGCTGCAGCCTTACAATGGCACTGTAGCAAAGGAGGTGCTCCAGCTCTCCAGAGGGCTGCAAAGACAGCCAAAATAAGTGCACCAGGGAAGAGAGGGGATGCTCCTGGAGACTGCTTTTGATCATGTTTTTACATTTATAGCCACAAAAATCTACAACTTCTAGACAAACAGAAAGCTGAACCCCTGAAGCGTTCCCATGACTCCAGCAGCAGGGACTTGGGGAAGTGACCAACCAGTGCAGGCCAACAAGGTCTGCAATGACATTTCACAATAAAATCATGAGAGGCAGAAAGAACTGCACCCCATGAGGTCCCAAATGATGGCAGCACATCCAGGCTTTGAAACGTTATGGTCTGTTTTACCTGATGGCAGTGACAAGGCTGTACACAGGGGCTCTGGATGACAGTCTGAATGACAGAGCAGATGGACAGCACATGTGCCAGGAGGGAACAGAGGAACACAACATCTGCCCAGCCTATCAGCTGAGTACTGGTTGTTTAAAAGCATGCAAGGCCCTGTTTCTGCAGGTCTGCTGTAATAAGCAAGGAGAAAGGGACCCAAGAGCCCACAGAACCAGCACGGGTCACTGACCAGCACCTCCAGGCACCACACCATGGTTACCTGTGCTCTGCACATGCAGGTGAAACGCAAACCACCACCCCCAGGTTGGGACCACTGGCTGCCCGCCCAAAGCAGCTCAGAGGGATTTTGGCTGCTCCCCATCACTGTTCCTCCATGGCAAAGGCAAAATGACATGGAGCAGGCAGCCTCTCTGCCAGTAATGAACATGCAGAGAGCTCATCTGCCTGGCCTCAGTTCACACAGGCTGATATAAAGCCTCTGGCTGAAACAGCCAAGCCTCAGGATCTGGCTAGCAGTCAAGATCTATAAAAAGCCATTTAATAATCCCTCCTTCCTCTCTGCCCTGAGATGATTAGAAAGAGGATTTTATTATTTCATGCATCTCCCTGGAGAACTGTTCTCCCCACTTGTCTTGTTTTATATAAGAGTTTACGGGGCAGTTGACAGTTTGCATGCAAACAGTTGCTGTAATGATGCAGGCTGATCTCCTATCCTGGCTGGGTACTCAGAGCCCGGCAAGCAGCTTGTCTGCTACCACTGACCCTACACCCATGAAACAACTAGAGAGCCATCTCTGTTTCAGTATTGCCATTCATTTCGGGAGATGCTTTCTCTGTTGGATTAATATTTAGCAACCTGGAGCCTCAGTCACCACCCAGGCTCTTGTCAAATGACAAGGAGAATTTTGAAGAGCCACAAAAATGGGTGGGACTAAACTAAAATGGGCGTTAAACTAGCCAGCATCCAAAGAACAGGGTTGATGTCTCCAACACACTGGGATAGGACTGGTAAAAAAAAAGCAAACAGCTAAATATTTGGCACACAGTACGTTTCCAAGCAAATAATGATCTTTTGTACAACAGCATCCTCTGCTTCCCAACTGAAAAAAAAAGAAAAAAGAAAAAAAGGGGGGGAGTTTCCATACCTTCTATATTTTTAGCAGAAAAACATTTAGTGAGTTCTACCTGAATTGCTATGAAAAAAAGTACAGTTAAAAGTCCCTGTAAATGCAGCCCCATTTGCAGTCCCCGGCTGGGGAGCACTTAGCAATGTTCTCAGGGCACACTGCATCCTGCAAACTGCAGAACGCGATTAGGGTATCGGTAGGTACAGCCAGATCACAGCTCCCCTGCTGCTGAACTGATACATCTTCCTACACATCTGTATCATTGTTCAAATCACAAGAGGGGCATCCAGGACCCATGTTTAGAGAATACAGATGTCAAGACTTACTTTATGGCTTCATCAGATTCCTCCAAGGGTATGTTCAGTTTCTCCCATTGCTCCCTGACAAATCCCATTCTAATCACCATTCCAACTCTTACAACCAAGCAGTGTCTGGGCCTGGGGCATGTGGGAGAGCTGGCAGCAAACCTTACCCTAGCCAACAGCATCCTGGGTTGCCTTAGGATGAATGGTGCCAGCAGGTTAAAAACAGTGATTCTTCTCCTCTAAATCCAAAGTGGTGTGTCCAGCTCTGGGGTTCTCAGTACAAGAGACACGGACATACTGGAGAGAAAAAGGGCTGATGACTAAAGACGACCAATGGGCTGGAGCATCTCTTGTATGAGGAGAAGCTGAGAGCTCGGATTGTTCACCCTGGAGAAGGGTCAGGGGAACTTTTCAATGTATGTAATACCTGATGAGGGGGAAGGACCCAGATTCTTTTAATGGGTGCCAAATGATGACAAGAGGCAGTGAGCACAAAGTGAAATGTGACAGTCCATCTGAAGACAAGAAAACATCTTTTTACTGTGAGGGTGGTAAAATTCAGGAAGAGGTTGCCCAGAGAAGCCAAGCTGTCTCCAGCTGTGGAGATACTGAAAACCCAAACAGACACAGTCCAGGTCTGTCTGTTCCAGGTGACTCTGTTTGAGCAGGATTGGACTAGACAATTAAGAGGTTTCTTCCAATTTAAATAAGTCAACGAGGACAAAAAGCAGAAAACAAAACAAATACCAAAAGAAAAAAAAAGGGAGGCTGGAACCCAAACCTGCCCTCAGACTGGGACATTACTATACAAAACCTTCACCTCTGTGGCAGCAAAGTCTCCTACATTAAAATTAATTCATCTGTACTGACAGCACCGAAGGAGTGAAGTAAGATATTGCTGCAAGCAAAGCTGCTCCACGGTGACACGCACTGTGCTTTTCAGGACACAAGAAAATACCCCGCATACTCACTTAGTGGGAGGTGTGATAAATTGCTCAGGATTAGCACATAGAGTGATGAATTGCTCAGTATGGGAACAAAATATACAGCCCAAGGAGAAAGAGACAGCTTTATTTAAGGAACTGAAGTGAGGTCTGGAAGGATGAAGCCAGCAGTTGCCTGAGGAGTTGTGTTTCTGTGAAAGTGCAATTCAATCCTTCCTGGCGTAACACTGAGAAAAGAGCTGCTGGGACCAGCAGGTTTGTGCTAACTGAGAGAGTCCCTGCTTGCTCTCCTTGCAACCTAGCAGGCCTCTGACCAGCTCCACACTAGGGGCCTGTTCTTCCCTGATAAAGGGATCTTCCAAGAGCTGCAGAGTGCCAGCACAAGGATACTGGGGGGGACTGCTGTCCTGGCTCTCCGCAGGAGTTCATACAACACCTCTTTTCCTAGGGTGATCCAGAACAAACCACAGAAAAAAAAAATAAAAATATTAAAAGAAAAAAAAAAAAGAGGGGAAAAAAAAAAAAAGCAAGCTCTAAGGTACAGCTGGTCCTTTCCTTCAACACACTCTGATGCAGGGAGAACACAGCCCAGTAGGCTTTACTCCAGCCACAGCCATGACTGAGGATGCCCAAGCCAGCTTGAGTGTTACAGGGACTGACCAGAATCATCTGGTAGAGAGACCCCTGAGTGTGACTGACCTGTTCCTCTTGTGAGAGAAAATGAGCTCAGTCACCACTCAGACCAAACATAACCTCCAGCCACCTCCTCTGTAAACAAAAACACTGCCTGGCTTACATAGCCAAGTCAAAGAGAATCAGATTCCAAAAAGAATCAACCCTGGTGGATTAGTACCATGGCTACGTTGGAGCAGCTGCCTTCAACCAGCTACTGTCCCACAAGCCACTGTAACCGACGAACGATCATGCAATGAGAGTAAGAGTTGCTCTGTTGGCACTGGGCTGGGTTTTGCAGTTTCCTCTTTCACAGGCAAGGCAGCAGCCAAACAGGCTGCTTCACAGGTGCTCAGTTCTTCCATCGGATTTGCTAAAAGAGAGAATGAGACATGACTAACATCAGTGTTGAACACAGATGCCTCAGGACCAAGTTAGCGAGTCCCAGTCCCTGACAAGAACAACTATGGCCAGAAGGTGCTAATTCTATCAGTTTCACCCTTCATTCCCATACTGAATGCAATCCCAAAGGTAAGATTAGCTTCCCAGCAGGAATAAAAAGTATGTAGGACAGCCACACCCTTACATCTAATCTACAGCCATTTCTGATGAAAGTCTCTGGCAGAAAAAGTAGATGTTTCTTACCATGTTGTTGAGAATGCT